ACATCCCCTGGGCATTCCCCAGTGCTGGGCCTGTGAAGCACTTCAGGTGTGCCTGTGAGAAGGGAGGGGGCACTCATCCTTCCCTCGCTTTCCTATGGGGAGATGGGGCCAAGGCTCGCGTTGCTTCATCCTCTGAGAGGACCTTCTACCTCAAAATGCAGCTGAAGCATTTGAGAAGCAGACCTGAGGCTGCAACCCTCCTCTCTGAAGTCTTATGGCTTATGGTCTTTGTGGTTGTGCAGCATTCAGAAAATCTTATTTGCTCATTGGTTGCCAAGCAGACCTGCATGAACTATCTGGATGCACCGAGGGCAGGATGAATTGCTGAATACCAGGAAGCAAGAGGGGGGCACCACGCTTCCATTCCTAACATGGGGCAGGTGGGACATCATCCAGGCAAATGCCAAGCCAACCCTGTGCATGAATAAGGACCCAGGTTTGCCCCACAACTCCTTTGGTTAAAGAGGTCAGATGGAGGAAGGCCTCTCTGTGCCTGAGTAGAAAAACGTGCATCTGTCTCTGTCTCTCTCTGTCTCTCTCTGTCTCTCTCTCTCTCTCACACACACACACACAGACATGCACTGCTCTGCCTTCACAGTCATTCCCCTCCACTTACAGAGGCAGAGGGGCAGCAGAGCCACAGGGACCCTCTGAATGGGGCTGCAGGGTGTTTTGTGGAAGGGCTGCAAGTGCAGCTTCTGAAAAAGAGTCTCCCCGACACCAGTGGAGTTATTTATGAGTCCTCTTACAGGTTCTCATTCCTGCCAGCAAGTCCCAAGGCTCTGCAGATGGCTGGTGCAACAGGTCCTTGCACTGGGCAGCCTCCCATAGCTGCAAACAGGGCAGAAGAGGGAATTTCCCTTCCCCGGGCTGGGCTCAGCAAGGCTTCAATTCCTCCTGTAGCTCTTTCTGAAAAGACTTCCAGGCAACCCTCCCTTCCTCTGAGGCCTTCGGGTCTCCTGCATTGGCGAGATCTCCGTCTGCAGTCTCCACTTCTCAACCTTAATCTGCCAGAATGAATTCCAAGTGGATGATCAGAAGAGATCCCAGCTGCTCACTCAGAGCAAAAAAGCCATTTAAACTGCATGTGAAAGTGGCAGAATAGTTTATTCTCCACTTTATTCTAGCCTCTCTTGCCCCCCCCCCCCAGGCCTTCCTTTGGACTTTGAGTAATTCCCTCCATCTCTACTGGTTGGACACGATGCACCATGAAACCTGCCACTTTTCAAGGACAGCAGTGGTGGGGCAATTACCCCAGATGAAAACTGGCACTCAGTTGAGATAACTCATCTCTGGAGAGGCTGGGAATTGCTAGAAGGAACTTGACCCCAATCAAGGGGGGAGATCAGTTGAGACAGGCCGCTGCTGGGCTGTGCCCTCCAGCTGGGTCTGCCAGGTGTCCAGGCCAGATCTCAGCATGCCCAGAGAGACAGCAAACCATTCCCCCTCTCTATGACAGCCCCAAATACTTGTGGGGGGCAGGTGGAGCTATCAGCTCAGCAACAAAAGTGTTCTTGTAACCTCAAAAGGGCAAAGGCAGAGGAGGCTGCTCTTGTCCTGGGAGAGGAAGCCTTTTGCTGGTTGGGAAAGAAGAAGCTTCTCTGCTGACAATCTCGGGGGCAAGAGGCCTACTCTCTCAGTCACACACACACACACACACACAAGCAGTAGAGGGGGATCAGGACTGGGCAGGCTGAGAAGGGAAGCGAAATAACAGCAGAGCTGTCACCATCCAGTTTTAAGGTCTCCTTCCTTCCAGTTGCAACAGGTAACAAAGGTGGGGTGGGGAACTGGCACTCTGGCACATCACAGCCGAGCGGGAAGGCTCCCTTGAGGCCAGGGCAGGGAAAGGCTCGGATGCCAACAGACCAGGCCCTGTTGGGAAAAGTGGGCCAGGGTGGGTGAGTGCAGGGTGCTCTTGGGACAAAACTCTCCCAGTCCCCCCACCCAATCACCGCCTCACAAACACGGTGGTGCACACCTGCCTCCACAACTGATTTGGGCTCTGAGCTCTGCAATGTGGCACCTCCGCGGGCCTGCCTGGAAGTAGGAGATCCCGTTCCCGTGCAGGAAGAGCCTCGGCAGTCAGAAGCCGCTCAGTGACCCTACAGCCTCGGAAATCCTCCCCTTACCCCCTGGCGGCTCGCCCTGAACAACCAGGCTCGCCCCTGAACACAGCCAGGCTATGACAGAGCCGACCGCGCCTCTGCCTCTCCCTGCCCGCCCCAAGGCTCCAGGTGTGGCTGGGGGCTCCTTGTTGGCCACTCCGAGAGCCGTTGCAGTTCAGGGATGGAAGGGGAAGCGGATGCGGGCCTTCCAGCAGCAGCCCCCGCGGACGGCCAAGCTGGGAGAAAGCTCCGGTTGGGGAAGGTACATCCGGGCGCATTTCCTCTCCCCCACCTTGTCGGGGGTGGGGGGTGCAGAGTCGCAGGCTGCCGCCCTGTTGCGGCCGCCTTTGGCTGGGCTCGTTGGGTCCTTTGCCTTCGGCCACGCGCTGAGAGAGGGGGCGCCGGGTTGCCTCGCTCGGGAAGAAGCCCCGTCGCTTGCTCCATCCTGGCAGCACCACGGCCGGACGTTGGATTCATTCGCTGTCCCATCCCCGCCGCTCTGCGGGTCCCCACCCCCGCCCCGATGTCTTCCCAGCCTTTCGGCCGCTTTGCCAGAGCAGCCCAGCCCGGGGATCCAGCCGCGGCCGCCACCTTAGCCGGAAAGGAGCTCCGAAACGAGCGCTGCGCTCAGTGGAACCGAGCGTTCTGCCAGGAAGCCGTTCCTCCTCACCGCCCACCAGGACCCCAAGGGCCCTTTCCACCTCGCAGTTCCAGCGATAGGCTCCAAAGGAAGCCCCGCTTCGACCTCTTTGCTCAGAAGCTCTGCTCAGCTTTGGTTGCCTGGGCTCGTCGGGGGCAGCGGTGGGGTTGGGGGCAACTGGCCAGGGAAGCCACTATTCTCAGGCACCCTATAACGGTCAGAGAAGGGGCCTCCGATGCTACGGCAACTGCTCCAGCACAGCAGGGCCTGGGGCTGATCCGTCTGTGGGGCAGGGAGTTCACTGGGTGCCCAGGGTCAGACGGAGCCCTGAGGAGCCCTGGCATTGCTGGGCAGGCTCCCAAGGCCTTGGTCCGGGCATTTTCTACAGAACAGCCTAAGACTTGGGGACCCTGAACATTCCCCTTCTTGGGTGTTTGAGCAGAGCCCCTCTGGCTCTGGCAGACCAAAGTCTTCTGGCTCTCCCCACCAACCCACAGGCTGCCTCACAGACCTGGATGTTTTGGGGAACAGAGCCCTACCCTGTGGAAATACTCCAACTATGGCCACTTCAAGACATGTGGACTTCAACTCCCAGAATTCCTCAGGGAGCCATGTTGCTAAGGGATTCTGGGAGGTGAATTGCTGCTGCTATTACTGAGCAGGCCCAGGAGGGAGGTGCCAGCCAGCCTACCCACCTTGCCCCTCGGAGCACATCTGAAGCCAAGGATTTGGTTGTGCACGATCCCCCTCCACCTCTGAGGCTCCCCTACCTCAGAGAAAGGAGACAACCATCAAGAGGAGTAAAACCCCATTCAGCATTGCCCACTGAGGAGGCTGCAGGGTCTCATCCTCCTCCTAAGACTGAAACCTGGTGGGGCGGAGACTGAGGGCTGGAGGCGGAGCAGGAGGAACCTGTTAACTTTTGTACACCAAGGCCTTGGTGCCCTGGTGAGGCCTCTCCCTTTAGCCTGATTCCACATACTACCCCCAGCCTCTGCTGGCCAGATCTCTGGAGAACCCGGGACGTCCTTCCAAGAGAGGGGGTGGAGGCTGCTCTGCTCCCCAGCTGGAGGAAACAGAGCTCTGGGAGGAAGAACCGCGCAAGACTTGACCTTCCCTGCAAGTGTGGACTCAGCCCCACTGCAGGAAAGACACTCCATCTTGCAAGTGGCCAAGCTCCTGTTGTCACCAGCTGGTCTACAATTCCCAGGGTCCTCAGCCAATGACCCTACTGCTGAACACATCTGGAGAGCACCAGGTTGGGGAAAGCTGGTGGAGATGGTCAGGTAAGGAAACAGACTTGTGTAGAAGAGTGGACACCCCATCCTTCCAGTTCCTCTCCTGGTGAATACAAACAGGTTGATCCATGGGGAGGGGGGGGGAGTACTTTCTCTGCAAACTTCAGCCAGGCCAATCAGGCAACAGCTGCAAGAGGTCAGACCCTGGTGGATCCCGGAAATGGGCTGCCATTGCCTGCTTACTTCCTGGTCCAGCCTGCAGCTCTGGGTTTCCTCACAGGCCCAAGGTTTCTCTTTCACTCAGTCTGGATGTCTGTCCTACAGGTGGAAAAATACAGAAACGGGTAGCAGCACTGCCCTCTTGTGGATAAGGAAAGTTTACACACACTCACTTCCAGAAGGATTCTTTGCCTTTTGCTTCAACATCTAGTTTTCACAACTACATCAGCCCAGCCAGGGGTTGAGCCTGCAGACAGACAGATCAGGAGCCACCATCTCCACTCCAGGAATTCTCTGGATTTGCACCCTCTGGCCAGCCTGCCTTCGCACAACAGCTTTGGAGTATTTGTGCTGCTAATCTCCTCCCTCTCTTTAACCCCAGGGGAGAGGAACCCCACAGTCTGGCCTGGTAGACCCCAAAAAATCAAGAGGTCTAAAAATGCAGCAACTTCTCCCACATTGCCTCCTTAATTGTGGTGTGACACTGCAATATGTGGGATGGAAAAACTTGCCTCCCCACAGGAGTGGCATGTACCAATGACAAATGACACTTTATTTAAAAACTTTTAAGGAGTTTCTGCCGTCCTTAATCACTGCTGGAAAAGACAAGCCCAGAATCACAGCCAGCATTGTTGACAATAATCTCCCTTAAATTTTACAAAAAAGCGAGACTTGAGAGGCAGACTGTGCGAGGGGATACCACCTTGTTTTGGTTGGAGGTGCTGAGAGGGAAGAGGATTCAAAGGGCACCTCACCAAATGGAGCATGTGCCAAGAACATTAAGTGAATCAAGAATCACAAGTACAAAATCATTTAATTACCCCTATTCAACTTCTATTAAAATAAAGCTTAAAATCATTATCAATCAATCAGAATAGAACCAGAAGGGACCATGGACGTCTTCTGCTATACCATGAAGAGACCATAGGCCGCTGCTATACCATGTCAGACAGGTGGCTGTCCAATCTCTTCTTAAAAACCTCCAGTGACGGAGCCTCTACTGCAACCGCAATCCCTGGAATCCACAGCCATTTCCTGATCCACTGTCGCTTTGACTTGATTATAGCTTTCCAAGAACATCCAGACCTGCTTTGGAGGCTCTACTGGGTTGGAAAACCCCCGGTTCCCTGCCTTCCCTCTTCCTCTCTCAGGATCGGACCTGAGCAAGGAGGACCAAAGGAAGGTTGATGACACCCCCATCAGGGCTGGGATTCAGATGGCAGGAGAGCCGGGAATCCTCTCATCTGGGAAGAAGACGCTTATTATCTTGCAGCCTTTGAGATGAGCCAAGTGGACCTGCCCATTCTTCCTCCAAACATACTGACCAGCGGCAGGTCCGACATCCCAGGAAAGGAGTCTGTTTTGAGTTCCCCCTTCAGTTTGATCCCGAAATCTGTCCCTGAGCCGAGACAGAAAGCGGATCTGCAACCTGGGTGCCTGGCAAATCCCGCCATTGTTATCAGCCAAGCCTGGTACTTGGGAGAGTCAGCCTGAAACACGGCACGGCTTCGGGGCTCCAAACTGGGCTTCAGCGGCTCCCACGGTCTTGTACCCCAAAAAGCCTCTCAATTGCATCAGCGCAGCCTGCAGGCAGGGGTCGTTATAGACCGCTTGGGGGGGAGCCCGGCTCGGTGTCTTGCGGGTCTCCGGTGCGGGGCTTTCCTCCTCTTCCTCCTCCAGCCGCCGCCTGACCCGGGGCCGGACCTTCGCCTGAGCCACGCAGGGAAGCCGGCGAGCGCGAGTCCGAGGCGCGCGGGGGAGCCGGCGGCGGTCGGGGCGGGCCGAGCTCGTCCTCCGCGGGGCCCTCGAAGCGGCCCAGGAAGGCCAGGTACGCGGCCCTCTGCGCGGCGGCGGCGGGGACGAAGTGGCCGCCGTCGTGGGCCAGCAGGGCCGGGCGGGCGAAGCGCTCGGCCAGCGCCCGGCTCTCCGCCGCCGGGATGACGCGGTCGTCGCGCCCGAAGACGTGCAGGCTGGGCACCCGCAGAGCCCCCGCCGCCGCCGCCGCCTCGGCCACGGGGAAGCCGGCCACCAGCAGGGCGAAGCCGAAGGGGAAGCGGCCGTCCCCGCGCTCCCGCAGCGCGCACAGCAGCCCGGCCAGCGCCGCGCCCTGGCTGAAGCCCAGCAGGCCGTCCACCGGGCCGAGCGCCGCCAGCGCCTCCGCCACCGCCCGCAGCGCCGACCCCGGCTCCGGCCCGGCCGCCGACTCCGGCCACCACCCGCGAGGCCCGGCGCCGCCCTCGGGCCCCGGCTCCCCCTCGGCGGGCAGGCGGTGCGGCGCGTCCAGGTAGAGCAGCCGGGCGCGGCCTCGCAGGGCCTTCCGCAGCGCGCCGGTGCGGGCGCGGAACCGCTCGGCGTTCTGCCCGTAGCCGTGGAGACAGAGCAGCCGCAGCTCCCCTCCGTGCGGCGCCGCCGCCATCCCCTTCCGGGTCGCGCGACGGAAACCCCGCGGCGATTTTCCGGTCGGCGGCTCGGCCAATCGGAAGGCGGAAGCGTCACCCCGGCAACCGCGCGAAAGAGACGGGCAGCCAATCCGAGTTCCCGTCCCTGGAGGGACGTCTGCGCCGGAGGGCGCGCATGCGCGACTCGCTCGTCCGCGTATCACTTCTGCAACCTGGCGCCCCCGGCCCCGAATTGCAGCCCTACTCTGGCTCCCGACACGCGGGCCGGCTGAGGATGATGGGCGTGGCGGTCGTCGTTTGGGAAGACCCTGCGCTGCTCGGCAGGCGCGCGAGGCCCCGGAGGGGGATGCTCAGTGAGAGGCGGGCCGATTCCCTCCCGCCTGGCTCTGCAAGGGCCGGCCCAGCGCCTCCCTCGGCACCCGCCCCGCGAAGCCGGCCAGCCCGAAGAACGGACGCGCGACTCGGGAGCGAAACAGGAGGGGAAGAGCCCCCCCCTCCGCCCCCTTATCCGCTGCGAGAGGAGAGGGACCAGCAAGAAACAGCACCCCCCTCGCCCCCCCCCCCGGTTGCCCTTCTTCGCAAACCGCTTCAATGCAGCCGGGAGTCCCGAGTGGGGGGGGGGATGCCCCCTGCCCCCGCCCCAGGCCTTCACCCATTGCAGCCATTCAGCGTTTGGAGGAGGCAACGCAACCAAGGCCCCATGGAAGGAGTCCCAGTTCTCTAAGGGGGAGGCCTCTCTTCTCTCTGCCCCCCCTCCCCACAGCAAGCAGGAGCAGGCAAGGTCTGCTGGGCCTGCACTGCACTGGGTTTGGCGGAGCTGACTTTGTTGTGGTGGTTCCTCTTTGGTGCCTCTGTTGGTTCCTGGGGTTTGCCTGGACTGGTCCCTGCAGTTTTGGCAAGGTTTTTCAAAACCGGCTTGCCATTGCCTCCTGCCTAGGGCTGAGAGAAAGTGACTGGCCCAAGATCACCCAGAGGGCTCCAGGCTGAGAATCTCCATAAACATTCATCTGCCTGGAGAGGAACTCCTTAACCCAAGCCTCAATACCGAAATGGGAGTTGGATTAACCCTGGCATGTTGGGATCAAAGTGGAGTAGACTCTTTTGTGGCCTTCCCACCACCCCAAACCCCCGCCCCCAATCTAGTTAATGTGAAAGAGATAATGTGTGGCTGGACACAAAGAGGATAGGTTAATAAAACCAGGCACTCCTCCAGTCTGTCATGTCCAAAACATTCCCTGGATTGCAAACGGAGCTTCTCTCCAGGCTGAGAAAAGGGCCTGGGACACTGCATCAGTGGAGGGCAACCTCCCTCAGCGTTTGTACTTTAAAAAGTTACGTTTTTTGCTCCAGAAAGCCCCTTGGCAAATAGCATCTGCTACTGGCTCAGATTTCTCTCCCTGCTGAGGCCAGAGAACTAAAATCGAGAAATTTCCGGGTTATCATCCCTTTTAAGTCCCTAACAATGCATCACCAGTTTTGATTTGATAGCAAGTCTTATTCATGCATGTCAACAGCAGCAATAGCATTTTGGCTTAGGTACCACTTCACAGTGCTTTACAGTGCTCTCTGAGCGGTTTACAATGTCAGCATTATTTGCATGTTGCCTTCAACAATCTGGGTCCCCATTTTACCATCCTCGGAAGGCTGTCAAAACCTCGAGCCAGTCAGGATCAAACTCCTGGCTGTGGGCAGTCGGCCTGCAATGCTGCCTTCTAACCACTGCGCCATAAAAATGCAGAGTGGAAGGCAGAAACGTTTTGACCCAAGGACGCCTCTGATATCAACTGGCATGGATGGATACAAGGACTTCTTGCACTCTCAGATACCGTCTGATTGTGGGGGCCCTTCTCTCCGCCTCCCAGATACACCTGCCCTCTTTCTGCTTATTGCTGCCAGGCCTTCCTCGCCACACAGCTTCAGGTGCCTGTGCTTAGTCGCTAATGTTATTAGCCAAAATATTCACTTTCAGAGTCTCTGGCAAAGCCCCAGTTTTCTTCAATAATTACTCCAGCAAAGGTACTTCTGATTCTACAGCTGCTGAACCCCAAAAGTCAGTGGTTGCAGGAAGGCCTGAAGGCAAAACCAGGCCTCCCAAAGAGCTGGCAGTGGAATGCAGCACCCTCCTATTCAGAGTTTGCACACAGTGCTTTTTCCCACTGGAGCCTGGGGGTGGGATGGGGGAATCACCCCAAAGTGTCTTTGCCCCAAAGCTTGGACCCTACTGCTGCTGCTGCTCCTCCACACACTGCCTGGGACCAGTCTGAGTTCCCAACTCCACTCTGAGGTTTGATGGCGCCTCCTCCTCCGTCTCCTGGCAGGAGCAGCTCTTCAGGGCTTCTTTCCCAGGTGGGAGCACAGATTTGGCCAGGTTCACCTGGAAAGCAGGAAACCACAAGACGAGGGTGGATTAATGGCATCATTGGCACAACGCCCCATCTTCATCAGAGGGGGACTTCCAAAAGCTATTATGACTGATCAATCTGGACCAGAGGTTTTGCAGCCCCTTTGCATATCGGGCCACAGGTGCTCAGGCAAACAAGCTGCCATCTGTCAGTCACCCTTTGGCCAGGGGCTCAGCCAGTAAGATCTACTGCCTGTTCTCCAGATAACCAGTGCCAAGGGGCATGGGGGCACAACATGGAGCTCACTGGGGAAAGCCTCTTGCCCACCATCTCCACTGGCCAAACCAACAGCCCCAGACAGCGTGCCGCAATGTCTCTGTTCCTTTTTGCCTTCCGTTCTCGGAAGAATGGCTGTGGCCATAACCGGGGCCGGATCCATGCAAAGCCTTCTCTGCTGGGCATGCCAGCCCATGCTCCAGGCAAGAAGCCCCCTCTCGAAGGCAGCCTTAAGCAAGGTCCTCAGGCGGGGATTGGGGGGGGTGGCACAAGTAATCTGAGCAAATGAAGAGGCCTCCCCTGATTTGGGGCAGAATAATTCAGACAGATTCTGAATCAGGAGAAAAATCTCTTGTGGTAAAAACTCAACTGCTCAAGGCTCACCTGCCCGGACAGCTGGCATGTGAGGCAATTCAACAGATGCCCCGGCTGCGTTTCCTCTTCTGCCCAGCCTCAATGGAGAAACAGCTGCTAGTCAATGCCATTAACAGACAGCATATTGCTGAAGCTCTTCCTAGACACGCTCTGGGTCTCCTCTGAACAAACTCTTTCAAAACGCCCCTCTCAGTCTTCTGGAAGAGACGCTACAGGTGCCCAATGCCACCCAGGGAGAAGCATGCTAGACAGGCCTTGCCAAGCAGCCCTACAGGGAGGCTGCAGGGTCAGCAGGGGGGTTGTAAATTTAGCAATCCCCCCCCCCTTGCCGTAGCCCACTCCCACACCATGGCTACAGTCCTCTGGCAGGCAAAGCTCAGTGGCCAGCAACACCCAATTGATCTGCGCCCTGAGCTGAAACAGGCAGAATCTGCCAATCTTGCCCCAGCTCCCTATTGGTGAAATGGGGGGGGGGATTTCTGTCTGTCTGTCTGTCTCTCTTTTTGGTTCTATGATTTCTTTGGACTAGATCCCATTCATGCTTCTTTACCCACTTACAGATAACATGGTCACATACATAAATGGAGCACTTTCTTCACCATAAATCCAATGAAAGTTCTTTCATTTAATTAAAAATATTTCAGTGCCTTATTTCTCCTTAGCCCACACATTATAGGATCTGCCCCAAAGATTACAACCCATAGAAAATACAGCCTGGTGAAACTCCATATTGTGATGCATACATCTGGGACAACCGAGTGGCAGAAGCTGGTTCTCTCTTCTTCAGGTTACATCCACTGAAGAGCCAGTCTTCCTGGCATTGCCCCAGAAAGGCACCAAGCAGGGCACACAGAGAGAGCCCGTGCAAGGTTTACCACTGCAGATGCCTTCTGGAGCCGGGTATCTGGGCTCTCTGGAGCCAAAAGGGCCATGCAGGGCCTGCCAGTGAGGGAGGGAGCAGGGGTGTACCAAAGGGGTGTCTCAGATAATTTGCATGGCAGGATTTGGGCTGGAAGAGAAGGTGGCTGTTGAACTGAGCAGCCCCACGGGGATTAAAGGGAAGGTCATAAGGGCTGGGCCTCTACAACAGTGTTTCTCAATTCCAGCAACTTTTAAGCCGTGTGGACTTCAATTTCCAGGATTCCTTGGGCCACATGGCAGCTGAGGAATGCTGAGAGTTGAAGTCCACATGACTTAGAGCTCCTGGCTGACATCTGCCTTTAGTGAGTCAGTGAGGTATGTCAGTAATGAGGACTAGATTCAGCACTTCCATCTGCACTTGAAGGACAAAGGCCACTCTCTTGAAGACAGCAAAGTCCACATTTTGGACAGAGAGGACTGCTGGTTTGAAAGAGGGGCCAAAGAGGCCATCTGTGTCCAAATAGAACAGCCATCCCTCAACAGAGGGGGATGGAGGGATGTGACATCATCCATCTCCAGCCTACAACAGTCCTTTCAGCAGTTCCAAGAAGGCTCCACACCCATTTGCACCACTCAGGTGACCCTGAAGACACAGATAAACCTCCAGGTGGCCTCAATGACTCCCTAAAAGGATGTAAATGACCAGCTGTCTACAAGGAGTGTAAATCCTTCCATTCCCCACCATCCAGTTAGAGCTGAAGAAGCTTCTTGGATGAGAAGCAAAATGTCTTCAAAGAAAAACCAGAAAATCCAGTTGCCTCTTGAAAAAAAAACCATCATTGGGACAATCTCAGTAGTGAGACTAGCAGGGCATGGGGGTCACTGGGGAAGCTGGTGCCCATCAAAGGAGTCGCCATCTAGCTGCCATGAGGTAATTAATGCAATTAAGGTAACTATAGCCCAGCCCACCTTGTGTGGTGGCTGTCTGGACTGATCTATTATTTTCTGAAATAGTTTCCCTCTGTACAACATGAAATAAAGGCAGCCCTGTCCAAAATATAATGCCTGGTTCAGACTGTGACTTCTCATACTCAAATCAAGAGATTTAAAAAACCTCTCTTGGGAGACAGCAAAACACTTAAGTGTTATTTTAAAAGTTTAGGAGCCAGCAGCTCTGGCTTCAAAATAACTGCATTATTGTTGTTTTTCATTTCTTTTTTCATGTACCCAAAAAGAATTGGGCAAAGGAAGGTGAGCATGCTATTAATTGTCATTAAATTATGGGACCAAATGTGCAGTGGAAGTTAAACCCCTCCCTCCCAATCCCTGTAACAAGCAAATTTTGGATGGTGGAAGCCCCTTCCCTTTGGAGCAGGACGTGGCTGCCTTTACTGACCACAAGGTCATCTTGTGCCAGCAGTGTGGCACATCTGCTAAAAAGGCCGATCCTATCCCAGGAGGCATAAACATGTTTATAGAAGGTAATTGTCCCCTTGAAGCAGATCCTATTTGAGGGGCGGTTCTGGGCTCCCCAGTTCAGAACAGACAGTGACAAACTGGAGCAGACGGAGAGAAGGGCTACATTAATGGGCAGAGGATCTGGGAACCAAGTCTTCCAGGAAAAAGATCTAGCTATCTGCAGAAGAGATTTGGGGATTGGGGGGGGGGGGAGTGTCCTGACCCAGAAGAGAATTTATCTTGCCCCAGAGAGCAGGACCAGAGTTGCAAGGAAGGAGGCTCAGCTGAGGTTAGTCCATGGAACCTTTGCAGAGGTGAGATGGACCTCCGTCATTGAGCAGGGAGATTCAAGGCCCTTTGAACTCCAGGATGTGTCTGTGTGCCCAGGGTGGCCATGCCCCATTCTCCCAATGGGTGCCAGACCAGAGCTTACCTTTGTGGTCCTGCCCCCCTTCTGGGGCCGGTGGCTGGGGTGGTTCACCGTCCATGGTCCCAGAGACTGACCGGCGTAGAAGTCCATGGGATAGATCTCCTGCCATTTGATCTGCTGCAGAGCCACCGCAGCCTGGGAGCGGGGGAGAGGATGGGTTGGAGCAATCAGGGTCCTGGCATCAGCTTCCCTCACCTGGGGGCCAGAAGAGGCTGGATGTCTATCCCTCCTCCCTCCCTCCCCCTTATAAATTGCATCTCGCCACCAGTGTCCAGTTCTGGGGGGAGGGGTCCCTGGCTACCGTGAACCTTTTCCAATTCCCCCCCAGCCCTCTCCTTTCCTCAACCGCCATCCCCCCCATTTACCTCATAAGGTGTCAGCAGCGGCTTTTCAAAGGCCTCTCCCCAGTCGATGGAGAGGCGGGGGCACGCCACCTGCACCCAGCTGCATGGGGAAAGAAAATGGGGAGTGGGTGGGATGTACAGCTTTCACCTGTGGGACAGACTTGGTCCAGTTCCCACCCCCAGGTTCAGGACGGCCAGGACAGCCCCGATGGAACTGGGCGGCATCAGGGAAAGTTATATGAAACCAAAGCGGTCTCACTGTATTTAAGAAAACAAAGATCCCCTCCAAAAAAGCTCAGGACTCTCCAGTCCCTCCCTGACACACACACACACCCGCCTACCAGTGCAGCCAGAAGGCAAAAGATGTGGGGATGGGCCACAGACCAGCATGCTGGGGAAGGGTCTTCCAGTACTCACGCCTCAACATCTGGAAACAGCTTCAATTTGCTGGGGAAGATCTCAGAGAGGAGAAGTCGGACGTAGGGATGCCCTGCTGCCTCCAGGCTCGACTCCAGGTGCTGCCAAAAAGGGGAGGGGGCTTACTCTGGGGACCCTTGCTGCCTCCTCCTTGGTCAAGGAGCTTCGGAGTGCGGGGTCCACTCGCCAGCTGATTGGTGAACATTTCCCAAACAGAAGGAGGGATTCCCATGAAGGCTTTCCCCAAAAGAAGTTGGGAAAGCAGGAGGGGGCAGGGAGCTCCTTTCCCTCCATTTGGGGTGGGGACTCCCCCCCCCCCGGCTCATCCTCCATGGAGCTAGCCAGGGTCTTCTCAAAGCCCAAATTGCATTTGCAGCCTCTCGGGGGTCTTCCAGGGCAGGAGTCTGAATCGGGGTGTCTCCCCACCCAGCCCCTTTCCTGCAGAGAATGCCCAAAGGGCCTTCTTCCCAACTCCAGTGGGCAACTGCCACAGACAGCAGCCAAGTGGAGGGCCTCGCTTCCACCGGGCACAGCCCTGCCTGGTCCACCAGGTCCTGGGCTGCAAGCTGTGGTCAGAGGACTCACCTTCAGGATGGCCGGAGACCCCTGACGCCCCAGGGTGCCCAGGATGAGGCCCCACTTGCGCGCACTGGCCGCTTGGCGGATGGCTGCCTTCCGCGACTCCTGCATGCGCTGGTGGGCGTAGAGCTCCTGGGAGAAGGCTTTGCTGTACGGATCGTACCTGAGAGAGGAGCACAAGGAGGGGACTCTGAGTGGGCAGCGGCCAAGCCCTGCTGGCCCTGCAGACCCTGCCTGGCAAACGGGGCCACCTTCTGATCAGCAAAGTCAATGGGGAAACCAGATTCGCTAACAACCGTGTTAATAAGTTAACAGCTGCGGTGACTCACTTAACAACTGTGGCAAAAAAAGGTTGTAAAATGGGGCAAAACTCACTGAACAAGTGTCCTGCTTAGCAACAAAAATTTTGTGCTGAATTAAAGTCCATTGTTGTCCATATCATAATCTAATCTGGACCAAGATACTTGTCTATCGGAGTAGAAGGTATATTGTCTATTGTTCCCATTTCTCTCCCTCCAAATATCTTTCAGATTTATTTCCTCTATCATTTTAAAAAAAGTTCTCGGCAATATCTTTCTGCTATATCTTGTTGTTCTACTTGTTTTATAGTCCAGTTTTTCATTTATGATTCCATTAAAGTCCCCCATCATACAAACATTTTCATACTCCATTTCAGTTATCTTATTATGTAATTTCCTGTAGACGTCACTCTGATTATTGTTAGGGCCATATATTGTTACTAAGAGCAATTTTGTATTGTTGTCAATTAATTCCACCATCAAAATTCTGCCTTCTGAGTCCGCATATTTCTGCTCAGCCGTTAATGTATTCCTGATATACAGAGCAACTCCTCTTTTTTTTACTTTGTGCCAATGATACAAAAGTTTTGCCAAGTTTTGGTTGAATCAAATTGGAATTGACTTTAAATATTGAACAAGTGAATATAGATACTAACACATGGGCGGATCATAACCCGGTGATTGCTATTTGGAAAGGTTGAAAAGGCAGATCTAGATGGACATTCAACAATACAATATTAAAAGAGAAAGACTTTGTACAGAAAATAAAACGAGAATTGGACTTTTTTTTAAGGATAATAAGAAAGAAACATCGACACAAAATCGTTGGGATACAATGAAAGCCTTTGCCAGAGGATTAATTATTGATTATACACAGAAAAGAAATGTGAAGAAAAGACAAACCCTCAAAATACTGAGAGATGATCATAAAAGACTTGAAAAAGAATTCCAGAAAGATCCATATAAGAAAGATGTAAAAATTAAAATGGATATTATAAAGCATAAAATGGATCTTACTAGAGAAGGAAGAATTAGCTCAAAAAATAAGAACTGCTAAACAGAATTATTTTGAAAATGCAAATAATGCAAATGCAAATAAACCAGGTAGATGGTTAGCATATAAATTGAAAAAAGAAAGAGAATCAAGAAAAATAACACAACTAATTGATCATCAAGGACAAAGTAGATTTGGAAACAAAGAGATGGGGAAAATAATACAGGAATACTATACACAATTGTACAAGAAAGATGTGATAGAAGAGGATAAAGTGGCAAGATATCTACAAAAAGCTAAACTACCACAAATCCCCAAAGAGGTCGAGGAGTTATTGGACGGAAACATAACGATGATGGAATTAACTGAGGCAATTAAGAAACAGAAGAATGGAAAGGTCCGGATGGACTGCCAGCTGAATACTACAGGACATTACAAGAATCGTTATCGATCCCAATGCTGGATGTTTTGAATGAAGTAATGATAAAAAAAGAAATACCCAAAACATGGACTGAGGCATATATCACTTTGATTCATAAAGAAGAAACAGACCCACAACAAATCAAAAACTATTGGCCTATATCCTTGTTAAATGCAGACTATAAAATCTTTGCAACGATATTGGCAGAAAGACTTAAGAGATATTTGAATAACTTTATACATCCTGACCAAAATGGATTCCTGCCAAAAAGACAAATTTGAGATAATATAAGAATAATTTTAGATACTTTAGAATACTATGAAGCACATCCTGAAAAGCAGATTGCTTTGATATTTCTAGATGCACAAAAAGCCTTTGATAATGTCAATTGGCAGTTTATGATGTTACAAATGGCGGAGATGGGCTTTGGGAAAAAAATTCTTCAGGCAATTGAAGCTATATATACAAAACAAAAGGCCAAGGTAATGATAAATGGAGAATTGTCCGAATTCATTGAAATAGAAAAAGGCACTAGACAAGGGTGTCCACTGTCCCCACTATTGTTTATATTCACATTGGAAGTTTTAAATAGAAATATTAGAGAAGAAAAGGAGATTTTTTACAGATTTGAATAAAATGATACTGAAATATATTTGGCAGGGGAAAAAGGCAAGAATAAAAATGAAGTTGTTACAAGATGCTAAAATGAGGGGTGGTTTTGGTTTACCTAACTTTGAACTTTATTATCAAGCAGCTAGCTTAATGTGGACTAAAGAATGTATATCATTAAAAACTACTAGATTTGTTAAATTTGGAGGGACATGATTTGTTGTTGGGATGGCATGCTTTTTTGTGGTATAAAGGAACTAAAATACAGGGGTATTTTAGAAGGCATAAAATACGTGAAGCCTTATGGTTGAATTGGGAGAAGATTAAAAAAAATCACTACTTGAAGATACCAGTCTGGATAACTACAATTGAAGCATTTTCGTATCCAGTGGTGTTTAAAGGGAAACAAATTATAAGATATAAGGAATTATTGGATGAAAAGGGTGAACTTAAATCAAAGCAAGATATGGAAGATCAAGGGTATAAGATGGATTGGTTTTCATATATGCAAATACTCTCTAGATATTGAGAAGACCTTAAACAAGAAGGCTTTTATAATGTATTGACTAATTTAGACAAGATTTTGATGGGTTCTGATGATCATGTAATTAGAAAGCTATATGGTTATTTACTAGAGGTTAAATTGGAAGAAGAACAAGTTAAAGAATCAATGATAGCATGGGGGAAGAATTTTGGTTATGGTATTGACTTAGAGAAATGGCAAAAATTGTGGTCACATAATTGTAAAATGACAATGTCTACAGCATATAAGGAGAATTTGTATAAGATGTTTTACAGGTGGCATCTATCCCCGTCGAGAATAGCCAGAATGTTCCAGAATAAATCGGAGAAATGTTGGAAATGTCATCAGACCCCAGGATCCTATTACCACATGTGGTGGACATGCGTAGAAGCAAGGAGATATTGGACTAAGATACACACGTGGTTGGAAAAAATGATAGACATATTGACTTTAAACCAGAGATATTTTTATTAGGGATTATACCGGAGACATATAATAAAGAACTGCAATACTTAATTGTGAATCTCTTGACAGCAGCTAGAATTGTATTAGCTAAAAATTGGAAAGGAGAAAAGTTACCTAGTGATGAAGAAATTATTAAGAAAATGATGGAATGTGCTGAAATAAGTAAACTGACATTTGAAATAAGAGAGCAGGAAGATAGACAATATTATTTGATATGGGATTTATTTTACCAATGGATAGAGAATAAGAATTGGAAATAATTATGATATAAATAGATGTTGAAACTTTTGGAAATAAGCTAGCATGTTTAGTGATAAATTGAAGAGAAGAGAAGCACAAAAATGTCACCGACTGATACACTGTCTATAATTGTATGGAATGATAATGTTTTATGTTTTATTTTGTTTGTGTTTTTGAAAATAAAAAAAATGAAAAAAATAAAAAAATAATCAAAAAAAAAAAAGAAAAAGAAATTTTGTGCTGAATTGTGGTCATAAGTCGAGGAATACCTGTAGCTCCCTGGGCTGAGGGAACTGAGTTGGCAGGTCACCCTTAAGGTCATCACGGCTAAACCTTCACTACCTGAAGGCCTCGGCCACTGCTGGACAGCCCAGCCTGGCTGGGAGCGGCCTGAAGCAGAAGGAGCTCTCCAGGTGCTGGCTCTGAGGCCCAAGGGGCTTCGGAGAGGAACCCACCTTTTTTTTTTTATTTATTTATATACCGCCCTTCTCCAGAGACTCAGGGCGGCTTACAGTGCGTTAAGCAATAGCCTTCATCCTTTTGTATATTTATACAAAGTCAGCTTATTGCCCCCACAAACTAGGTCCTCATTTAACCTACCTTAGAAAGGATGGAAGGCGGAGTCGACCTTGAGCCTGGTGAGAATTGAACTCGCAGTAATTGCAGGCAGCTGGATGTTAAATGCTGCCTTAGTAAGGAGGCATTAGCCTTCTACGCCACTCAGGCACCTTCTGGTATGTTCAACTTCTATTTCAGTTCCTGCATTCACATTCACAATTTAATGAAAAGAGGGACTAGGGGTGACATGAGAGCAGTCTTCCTGTATTTCAGGGGCTGCCCCAAAGAAGAGGGGTCCACCTATTCTGCAAAGCCCCTGAAGGCAGGACAAGAAGCAACAGATGGAAGCTAATCAGAAGAGAAGCAACCTGGAACCAAGGAGGAACAGTGAGGACAATTAACCAGTGGAACAACTTGCCACAAGAAGTTGTGAATGCTCCAACACTGGATGTTTTTAAGAAGTGATTAGACAACCACTTGTCTGAAATGGTATAGTTTCCTGTCTGAGCAAGGGGTTGGACTAGAAGACCTCCAAGGTCCCTTCCAATTCTGTTATTCTATTCTATTCAATCAGTCTTCCCAGGGGCCAGATCCAAGGGTCTGAAGGAGGCCCTCCAAGCCACTTCAGAGTGCTTCCTGCTCCTTGGATCAACCCAACGGTCCTTCATTGAACCGGTTCCTAACCGAACCCGTCTTTGCCCAGGCTGGACACAGGACACACTGGGCCAACCAAGGCAAACCACAACTCCATGCCGAGGTTGTTCAAAACTCTCCATGGCATCTTCCCTGAAGCCACACAGGAAGGGTTGGCTGCAGGCCTTCTCCTAGACGTTTTCTGACTTCCTAGGACTCCCCCATCCTAGGAGTAGCAAAGCCAGACCCTGCTTAGCTTTAGAGCAGGGATGTCCAAGATAGGCCACTTTAAGAGTTGTGGACTTCAACTCCCAGAATTCCTCAGCCAGCTAGACCAGGGATGTCCAACACTGGCCACCTGAAGATCTGTGGGCTTCAACTCCCAGCTATGCTGGCTGGGGAATTCTGGGAGTTGCCATAGGTCTTCAGTTTGAACACATTTTTTTTTTGAGCCACAGTCAGCCATGAGCTGCAAAAGCTGGGAATGTGGAATAGAGTGGGTATAACACCTGCCTATAATCATAAGAACTGGACAGTGGCATTTTGATCATCGGAGCAAGAGCCCAAATTAGAGCCTCTGCCAACTTCTGCTGGACAGAAACTATTTTTGTGCTAATGCAGTTTAAAACCGCATATATATTTTTTGCAGTTACATTACACTGGTAACCCACATTCAGCGTGTAATTAACTATTTCAGAAATAATACAATAGCTCTCTCGCTCGCTCTCACTCTCTCGGTTTTGCGTCAGCCCCAAGCCTGATAAGCAGTTCTTCCATTTTTTTCCCGCCCAAGTCACTAAAAAAGATGCTGAGGAAGCCGGACCCATCGAGCGCCTCTGGCTAGGAATGTCCCTCTGTACAAAGACAGCCTGGTGTCACTTGCTCCCACCCAGCCCTAACTGGGTCACTCTCCTCCCTGCCTTTTAAGGGGGAGTGGGCAGTCCTCAGCCGCTCTTAGGATACAAGAACGACAGAACCGGATGGGGTCAGTTCATGATCCACTCCACTCTCAGTCACTTTCAGACCCCTGGACCAAGTCCTACATTTCCCCTCCCCCCCCAATGGCCTTGGGATTCTAATAGTAACAAAATAACCGAGTTGGAAGGGACCTTAGAGGTCTTCTAGTCCAACCCCCTGGTCAAGCAGGAGAATCCATACCATTGCAGACAAATGGTTGCACAATCTCTTCTGGAAAGCCTCCAGTGATGGAGCATCAACTTCTGAAGGCAAATTGTTCCACTGTTTAATTGTTCTCACTGTCAGGAAATTTCTCCTTAATTCCAGGTTTCTTCTCTCCTTGATCAGTTTCCATCCGTTGTTTCTTGTCCTGCATCTTCAGGTGCTCTGGAGAAGAGGTTGACCCTCTATTCTTCGGGGCAGCGTCCCAGGTATTGGAAGACTGCTATCATGTCACCCCTCAGTCCTTCCTTTCATTAAGCTAGACATAACCATTCCTGCCACCGTTCTTCCTGCGTTTTAACCTCCAATCGTCCCCCGATCACCTTTGTTGCTCTTTTTTTATTATATGGTGACCAAAACTGGATGCCGTTTTCAGGAGCCCTGTCCCAGACCATCTCTGGCAGGTGACCCTCCAGCCTCCATCGGAAGCCTTCTCGTGAAGGAGGTCTCCCCCTTCAGCCCAAACAGCCAGGAAATTAGTTCCTGCTGCTGCTGCTGCTGAGCCTTTGGTCTGGACTTCCCGGCCCTCTGGGGACACACAGGTCAGCCCCCTTCCTTTCGGAGCAATAGCCCCTCTGAGGCTTCAAGACTTGACCTGCCTCGGTCGTTTGAAAGCTAGTTGAGTCCTCTCATCCTTCTAGTGTGTTCACCATCCTGACAACCCTCCTGAGCATCGCCTGCGATCATCCCTGTCCGGGGACCACAAATAAGGCTCCCTGTTTTCACACGAAGCCTCTTTTAGTGGTTTCCTGGGCTACTGATTTTTAAAGAGCAGGATCTGTTGCCACCCAGGACAGGAGAAAATCCCACAGTTTTGGTCAGAAAGGCCTGGGGGAGGGAGGGAGGGGGGGCTGTGTGTGCCCTTGTGGCTTGAGGCTGCTGCCCACCCTGTTGTGGGAGACCCCAAGATACAGACCCTCATCCACCGTTTAAGATCCCTGGGTCACCCACCCCCTCTGGATTAGTGGGGCGCCTGGCCCACAGCAGAAGCCTCTGGGTCTCTTCCAGAGCTGCACGTCCAAGTGGGCATCCCTCTGCCCAGAAATGCTGCTGCCCAGCGCTGCCCCCTGCCTGGTGCTCCCTCAACCGTGCCAGCCGCTTTGGGACCCCCTGGGGGGCCACTGAGACCATCCTTGCGAGGGAGGCACAGAAGGACCACAAGCCAAGCGGGTCTCCTCCTGCCAGCCACGCTTGCTGCCTGCTTCCCTCCACTGCCCCTCAGGAAACGGGCGATTTGTTGCCTATGGCGAAGAAGGGAATTTAAATCACTGTAAGGCTGGGCCGGCCAGCCTTTCAAGCCCATAAAACTGTCATCTCCGCCTGTCGGTAACAAAGGGCCTGCTCGGAAATTCAGATTCCAGGAAGGGGCTCGGGGGTCTCCTGGGTGACAGGTGTGGCTTTCTGCAGCCCCATTTCAGGCGGGGGCGAAGGGCTTTAATGGGCACCCTGCAAAAACTGCTTCCCGGGCCTTTGCCAAAATAATGCTGAGATGCGAGGCAGGAAAGGGAAGCTGCTCTCCCAGCCCTGGGGGTCTTTGCAGTGGCATTTCCAGATTCTGCTGATTAGCCCAAAGCGAAGGCCAGCTGGCCGTGAAGACCCCCGCTTTGTCCCTGTCAAGGGTCCTCTTTAACTGGGACGGGATCCACAGACAGACCCAACGTGAGACATTCCGGAATAGGCGCACTCTCCTCTTCTATCTATCTGACAACCCCTCAAATCCTGGACGACTGCTATCACGCCCCTCCTGGTCCCTTTTGTCATTAGATTAGCCATGCCCAGGGTGCTGGAAGGTCCCGCCTAGCAGAAGAGGCACCGATTCCTGGCAAGATCCCCGTCTATAGGCGAGCAACAATAAATTACTCTGAGTAACCCCTGGTGTCATTTGTGGCTCCTTGGGTTTGCCCTCAATGGTGGCAGAGGGTGGCCTTATGGACCGGCTCCGGCAGATGGCAAGCAGTCCTTCAGGTGCTGCCACTGCCCTCCCAGGCCAAACTCCCCAGATGCTCCTGAAGGCAACCCCTTTGCCCCCGTTGGCAGGTGGGTTGGAAGGCTGCCTGTTCACCAAACATCACCAGCCCTCCAGCCTGGGGGTCCCAGGAAGCAGCTTGGCTTAGATGGTTCCATGGCCGAGGTGCCCATTTTTATCCTCTCTTCGCCGAGGGGTTCACATTATTTGTTTTCCATACTATTTATTTCTTAATGTAGATTTATTTAGTTTTTGTATCTGTGGCTTTTCTATCTGTGGCTTTTATCTGGTTCCCATGTGCCGCCAGAGTTGCTTTAGGGCAGCTATACAGATTTGATAAATAAGTTAATAAACACGGCACAAGTGGACTTTGGGGGAGGGCTGCCAGGGCCAACCTGAGATTGCATCTGGGCGGGGGGAGGGGGAAGAGCTCTGGCAAGAAGAGACATTTGCAAGGGAGGGAGGGAGGGGGAGAGGCCCTCAGGAAGGAGGACAATTTACTCTCTGAATTCTCTGCCCAGAAGGGCAACAACTACAGGCTTAGGCAGACTTAAATGGACCCTCCAGAGTCCAAGGCAGTGTATCTGTCACCGCCACCAGTTCTCAAGGAACAAGCAGGGGCAGGAAGGGCTGTGGGCTCCTGGGGGAAAGCAGCCGTCTTCTCGGGGGAAGACATGGCTGGGTCAGACTTGGCTTCACTCTTAGCTTCCATCTTCACCCCACTGAAGAACTCCAGGTTACCTGGCCTCAGACTCCCTCTAGCTACAGCCCCCACTCCCGGCACCCCTTCCCCCTGTGGGGTGGGGGTGCAGAAAAAGAGCACAGCCCAGGCCTCTTCCTCTCCCGGCCGCGAGATACCTGTAGGCAGGAACCTCAGGGTTGGCGATCATGATGGACTCCAGGTGGAATCGGCCGTCTCCCAGGTAGCTGCAACGGGAAAGGGGGGGGGGTCGGGAAAAGGGGGGGGGGGAGTGGAGTGGGAAGGAATCCTTGTAGGGCCCAAGAACCATGGGAAGCCTTGCAAAGGGCGGGGGGCGGGGGGGCTATGAACCATCTGTCAACCTAGGTAGGTATGTTAGGTAGAAACAGCCCTTACAACAATTCGTTTAGTGACCATTCAAAGTTATAACAGCACTGAAAAAAATGGCTTATGTTTTTCACACTGACGACCGTTGCAAGCCTCCCCAAGGTCACGGGATCAAAATTCAGCCGCTTGGCAACTGAATCCTAGTGACGACGCTTGTGGTGACCGAAGGTCATGCGACCTTATGACCAGCAAAGTCAATGGGGAAGGCGGATTCGCTTCATGACTGTGTGTGTGTCTACCTTAACAACTGCTGCGATTCCCTTAACAACCGTGGCAAGAAAGGTTGTAAAATGGGGCAAAACCCTCTTAAGAACTGTCTTGCTTAGCAACAGAAATGTTGGGCTCAATTGGGGTCATAAGTCGAGGACTACCTGTAGATAAATAGGCACCCCTTCGGTGAGAAGGTATCAGCCTTCTCGGCACCTTGGTTACATGACCATGGAGCCATCTTGGGACAACACTGGCTCCCCCCGATAAGAAAGGGAGATCAGTGGCGCCCCCTGGAGTCAGGCATGGCCAGGCAGGGGGAAACCTTTTTTTAAAATGGACTGTTTGCACCCACAATCCTGAAATCTTCTGGGTCACCTTCTCCTTCGGCATCCAGGTTTTCTCCCAAATCAAGGCTCTGTGGTGCGGGCATCTGGCCACTGAAGCCCCCTCCTCAAATTTGCCCTCTGGCTACGTGCCAGGTCCCCCTCCCAAGGGCGCTCTGCACCTGACCCTGCTTAACCTGGCCGAGACCACCCAGGCGCAGCCATCCATCCGCTCTGCACCAGACCCCGCTGAACTCCCGCTTAACACGCCGGGCTGTGAGATCCCTTGTCTAGACGGGGATCTGGCAAACCTTTTGATTCATTTGCTTTCACAGATCTCTAATTCACTCGGAACCCACCCCCCTTGTGGGGGATGGGCAGGAGTACGCAAACTCAACCCATAGGTGGGTAAATGAAAATACGGGGCCTCCCTTTGCCTTGTTAATGGGAAGCTGCACTGAGCAAACACGCTGCTTTAATAAATAAAAAAAAGCAATCATAAACTGGAAAACAAGATACAGCAGCTATTTATCCACTTCTTTCTAGGGCAGCTGACAGACCCCCTGCTGCTGAAGAGGCTAATTCCAAGATACAAAAGGGGGGGGAGAGGGGAGGAGCTTTTTTCTTTCCACATCAGGGCTACTACCGATGTTGGCCACTTTAAGACCTGTGGACTTCGACTCCCAGAATTCCCAACTTGGCTGTGCCTGGTGGGGAATTCTGGGAGTCGAAGTCCACAGGTCTTAAAGTGGCCAACATCGGTAGTAGCCCTGCTCTACATCAAACATCCAGTTTTTGAAGCAAAGATGACCCTTCCAAGCCCCCCTCTGGGGGTGGGCCAAGGGGCAGCAAGAAAACTCCTGGGACCTCCAAGGTCCTTGTGACGCCATGAAAAGCAGCAAGACTTTTATGGTAGTTGGAATATGTGGTACGATTGGATCCAGAAACGATGGAAGAGAGACAAAGGATAATGTTGGATTATAATTACAATGATGGTATATTTATGGTAATTAATAAGTATTGGAAAGATAAATTTATATACAAGAATTTGTAAATATTTTCTATTTTTACTCTCTGATTATATATATTATATATATATATATATATATATATATAATATATATATATATATATATATATATATATATATGGATATTTTGGCGATGTTACACTGATAGAAAAATTATTATACATTTATTTGTTTTTTTACAAAAAAAAGAAGGGCGGAAGAGTGGTGGGGTGGGGTGGGGGGTGTTAGTGGGGAGCCCCTGGTCAGGGAAGGTGACCTTCTGCCCTGCCCCAGCTCCCTCCTCCTCACCTTCCCTGACCAGGGGCTCCCCACTAACACCCCCCACCCTACCCCAGCACTCCTCTGTACCTCCTTTTTTTGTTCAAAAACAAATGTATAATAATTTTTCTATCAGTGTAACATCGCCAAAATATCCATATATATATACCTCTGTACCTCCTCCAGCCCTTCGGCATTCACAGCACATTAAGCATTTCCCCTGCTCCAATAATTAGGCGCGCAGCCTGTGGGACCTGCCTAATTTCCTGTCCTTAAGGAAAAAGAACCAGCTGTGGCTTCCAAGCCAGCCATCCCTCTTTTGACTGCTGGCTCATTTGCTCTGTTGCCCCGCACAGAGCACAGTCCATGGCTGGCAGAGAGGAGCACGGATATAAGAATAACATAGTTGGAGGGGACCCTGGAGGTCTTCTAGTCCAGCCCCCTGCTCAAGCCGGAGACCCTAGACCATTTCAGACAAGTGGCTGTCTTGTCTCTTCTTGAAAGCCTCCAGTGATGGAGCCCCCACAACTTGACAGTTAGAACAATTAATCAGTGGAACAACTTGCCTTCAAAAGTTGTGGGTGCTCCAACACTGGAAGTTTTTAAGAAGAGACTGGATATCCATTTGTCTGAAATGGTATAGGGTTTCCTGCCTAAGCAGGGGTTGGACTAGAAGACCTCCAAGGTCCCTTCTGTTATTCTATTCTATTCTATTCCATTCTATTTTATTTTATTTTATTTTTATTTTTATTTATATGCCGCCCTTCTCCGGAGACTCAGGGCGGCTTACAATGGGTTAAGCAATAGCCTTCATACTTTGGTATATTTTTCTGTTCCACTGGTTAATTGTTCTCACTGTCATGAAATTTCTCCTTAATTCCAGGTTGCTTCTCTCCTTGATTGGTTTCCATCTGTTGTTTCTTGAACTGCCTCAAATAATTTGCCTTTCTCAATCTCTCCAATTTTGGCTTGCCAGCTCACCCCCCCCCCCCAAATACCACAATGGGTCCTGGAGTGGCTAAGCCTGGGCCCAGAGCAGGGAATCCCTGCTGAGCTTTCCGTAAAACCCCATTCCTGGTTCCTTGGAAGGCCTCACCCTCACCAGCCAAGGCTGGGCTCTTGACCCTGGGATTCTGGCACAGGGAAGGCGCGGCTGAATGACTGGCAGGGACACGGCCACTCTGTCCCTCTAGCCCCCAAGGGAAGCTGAGAAGGACCGCACCAATCGCTCACCCCTATTGTTCATAAGGACCAGAAGCCTGAGCTTTACAAATTAATAATACAGCTGAGCCTTTGGAGGGTTTTCTAGCCAAATTGTACACACAAGCCGGGAGTGTTCTGGGGTAGAATAGGAGCTCTCTGACCTTGGGAACTTTACGACTTGTGGACTTCAACTCCCAGAATTCCTCAGCTGGTTGAGGAATTATGGGAGTTGAAGTCCACAAGTAAAGTTGCCAAGGTCAGAGACCCCCGTGATCTACCCTCTAAGTTGGAATGTAGGTAAAATTTTTGAAATATACATTCAGTGCCTTTAATTTGGGCTCCCCATGCTAATAAGCAATCTGAGGACAATTATCCTTTTCATTGGTGCAGTTTTCCCAATTTTGTGGTACAATCCTTTATTCAAACACAGAGGATCAAAAGAGACAAATTAGAAGAAAGTGCCCTGGGAGAACTATTTTAATGTCATTACCTACTAAGTTTAATGAGAGCATTTAAAGATCCTTTGCTTATGGATGCAAATGTGGAGAAAGCTTCAGAGAAAAGGAATGTTTTCAAAATGAAGGTGCATCTGTCTGCGCCTTATTAATGAAAGACCCGGTGGCTTTTCGGTGCCAAGGGAGCACTGGGGGGGGGGGTGTCTCTCAAGTGCCCTCCCCCTTGGATGCCAGCCTACCAGCAAAACCACCAGGGGCTACTTACACAATGGCGTCCGTCTCCTGGGCCAGTCGGGGGGACGTGCAGCCCAGCAGCTCCCCTGGGGAGAGGGGCTTGCACTGGGGGGTCCAGACGCAGTAGTCAGGCTGGAGTTCCCGGGAGGCAGCCTGCAGAGGGAGGAGGGCGTGGAGTGAAGTGGCCCCAGGGCCCTTTTGCAGGGGACACGGGGAGAGATCCAGCAGTGCCAGTTCTCACCTAGCACATTGCCAACTGGAGGAATTCACTGCAGACTCCCAGTGGGGGATCTGACCTGAGAGTCCCTGACTGTTCCTTCCTGAATCCTAGGTAGCAGTAGGCCTGGGGTGGGGGGCTCTTGCCAGCCTCTGAAAGGCTCCCCATTGGCCACGGAGGACCCAGAAGGCCTGATGTGCGGCTGGCACCTTCTTACCTTCACACCATCTGTGGTTCTCCAAACAGCCACGGAGCACACATGGCAGAGATGGACGGGGTGGGGGGGGTCCCATAAGCATGATTAGGGGACAGTGGACGTTGCTGGAAAAGCACCAGCTAACACAAGCCAGCCCTGGCTACATGCAGAGACACCCCGTCAGAGCACCAAAGGTGCCACTCATGAACACACACACACCCTGGGAGGCTGCCCCTGTCTAGAGCAAAAATGGGGCCAGAGGACCTCCTGACCTTCCTGTGTCCGCAGTGAGAGGCAAAGGCAGACCCACAACCAGTGGAGAGGCCTCAGACCCAGCTCCCCCTTACTTTAAGGTGGGGGGGGGGAAGAGCTGCTGTTGCTCCTTCCTTCCTTCCCGGGAGAACTGGGCAGTGAGGGGCAGCACTGCCTCCTAGATGCCCTGCTTGCAAGAGGCAGGGGGCATCATACGCCCACCCGCCTACCCACGCAGCCTACCCCACTCCCACTCCCACTGGGCTCAGTTCTACCCACCTGCAGCGCAGATACGAACTGGACAGTGCTAACCAGTGCCAATTTAGCCCCAACCGGGAAGTTGAAGCGGAGGGTCTCAAGGAGGTGGGCCGTATCGATCTTGATGTCCACAAACACGTAGAGCATCTTCAGGCCCTGCGTGGAGTCGATGGGAACTGCAGGGAGAGGACATGGTTGTGTAGTTGTGTACATTGGAGGAGGTGACCCTTTTGAGATTTAAAATTTCATTTTAATGTATGCCAATTAGTGGTCGTTCAAAGTTACAATAAAGTTATTATTCTATTCTATTCTATTCTATTCTATTCTATTCTATTCCATTCCATTCCATTCCATTCCATTCCTCTATATCTATCCTATTCTATAGCTATATCTATACATCTACATCTATTCTACTCCTGTTCTGTCCTGTCCTGTCCTATTCTATTTTCTATTCTATGACATGTTACAGGTAGTACTCACCCGACAACCACAATTGAGCCTTAGCAAATTTCTGTTGCTAAATGAGACATTTGTTCATTGAGTATTACCCCATTATACAACCTTTCTTGTAATAATTGTTAAGTGAATCTGCTTTCCATACTGACTTTGCCTGTCAGAAAGCCGCAAAAGGGGATCACATGACCCTGGGATGCAGCAACCGTCATAACGAGTCAGTTGCCAAGCGCCTGAATTTTGATCACGTGACCGTGGGGATGTTGCCACGGTCATAAGCGTAAAAAACGTAAGTCACTTTTTTCAGTGCCATTGTAACTTTGAACACTCACTAAACAAACTGTGGTAAGTCGAAGTCTATCTGCATATTAAGTTTAAGTTTAAGTTTAATGCGATTTATATGCCGCCCTATCTCCAATGGATTCAGGGCGGCTCACAACAATAAAATGCACAATTGCACATTAAAACAATATGAAATTAAAAGTCCAAATTAAAACAGTTTAAAATCAATTTAAGACTATTAAGAAACCCCCCCCAATCAGGGGTTGGAAAGGACCTTGGAGATCTTCTACTCCATCCCCTGGTCAAGCAGGAGACCCCAATCTCTTCTTAAAAACATCCCGTGTTGAAGCAACCACAGCTTCTGGTGGCAAGCTGTTCCACTGGTTAACTGTTCTGTCAGGAAGTTTCTTCTTAGTTCCATGCTGTTTCTCTCCTCGATTAGTTTCCATCCATCGTTTCTTGTCCAGCCCCCTGGTGCTTTGGGAAATAGGTGAACCCCCTCTTCTTTGTGGCAGCCCCTCAAGAATTGGACCACTGCTATCATATCACCCCAAGTCCTTCTTTTCATTAAAATAGACAAACCCAGTTCCCACAGCCGTCCTTCTCCCTCCAAGTCCCCTCCCTGGTCATCTTTGCGGCTCTTCCCTGCACCGAAAGGAGCAATGGCTGCGTCTGCCAGCTGCCTTCGATGCCCCCAACACCCAGGGCTCAAGCCCCAGGGGGCTCCAGAGGAGGCAGGTGGGAATCCCTGCCCATCACTCTCACTCTCTGGGGCGGAGAAGAAAATGGAATTTGGATGCAGTTTAATTATTAGACTGAAGGAGGCAGTTCAAAAAAAAAGGAGACAATTAGCAGCTCCTCATATTTTAGTGGTCGAGTCCAGATAATTCTTCATCCTTCCCCCAATCCGAACGGCCAACGATGGCTGCCAAATCCCCAATTGCCTCCTCTGAGTGAATCACCGGCCGGATTTCAGAGAGGCTGCACCATTTTCTCTCTCTCTCTCTCTCTCTCTCGCTTCTCTTTGCCTGAAATTGCTCCTGAGACAGGAGGGTGGCTGGTCCCCCCCTGAATGAGTCACCCCTTAAGCAGCCAGGGACAATGACTCTGCACACCCCTGGGGCTGGACTGGGCTGGGTGAAAATGGGGCAGGAGAGCTGGTGGTCCACGGTCAACGGAAGTCTACTGTGGTTTCAGCATCTGGTGCAAACCACCCTAATCTGCTGTTTCAACGTGGCTTGTTCCACAAATACATCCACAGGCAGTCCTCGACTTACGGCCACAATTGAGCCTGAAATTTCTGTTGCTAACATTTGTTTAGTGAGTTTTGCCCCAATTTACATTCTTTCTTGCCAGAGTTATTAAGCAAATCGCTTCAACTGTTAAGTGAGTAACATGATCTGAGAATCTGGCTTCTCCACTGACTCTGCTTGTCAGAAGGTCACAAAAGGGGATCAGGTGACCCCGCAATCGTCATAATTACAAGTCAGTTGCCAAGCACCTGAATTCTGATCACGTCACCACGAATGCTGCAACGGTCATAAGTGTGAAAAACGGTCATATGTCTCCTTTTTCAGTGCCATTGTTACTTCAAATGGTCACTAAATGAACTGTTATAAGTTAAGGACTACCTGCACTGTGCTCTCTTAACTCTGGCTTAGCCTTTTCTGAGACCCCAAGCAAGAAAAAAACTGTTGAGTTACAGATGGTCCTTGACTTGTGACCATCTCGGCAAAGAAAAAAGTGACTTATGACCAGTTCTGACAGCTATAACCATTGCAGCCTTTACCTGGCCACCTGATCAAAATTTGCAATCTCCCCAGCCGCTTTCCAACAAACAAAGCCTGTTAGGGAAGCCATATTTGCTTAACGACCGTGTGACTCATTAACAGCCGCAACGAGAAGGTGTTTTTGTGAGCTGCGCTGCCCGGAGTCACAGACTGACACTTAGTGGCAGCTCTGGTCCCAGTTGCGATCATAACTCTGTAAGTCCTAAAAAGGCTTCCGCCCTCCCGGTGGGGGGAAAAGTGAGAGGCAGGGTTACGGAGGAACCATGCAGCCCAGATCGCTCGGGAGGGCGAAGGAGGGGTCTGGAGGGGTCGCCCTGCAAGGGCCAAGATGCCTCCCTGCAGTCCTCTCCTCCACAGAAAAGCCCCTCCCTCCCCCCTTCTGCTTTTCATGGGATGGGACCCCAGGGGGCTGACCCAGATACCGGGGGGGGGGGAGCAACGGAAGGTCTCCAGCACATCCAGCTGGGTTGCTGTCATAATTCAGGGACAGGCTGCGGTGGAGACCCTGAGGGGGTGTACAGCTTTCGGCATCCCTGAGCAGGAAGGTCAGTCTTCCTGCCCCCCCCCACCCGGCAGGCAGATCTCTGGAATCCCCCACCCCCACCCCAACTCCTGGCTTCCCTGATGCCAGCCTCCAGCCAAGGGCAGGACGCCCCACCTGCAAAGGCCATCGGAAGTGGAATATGGGCTCCGTTCATCCCCTCCACAACCGTCTTGAGGGGGGGTTGTTTTCCCAAATGGGCTCGATGGAAACGGGAGGTGCCCCTCCCTGCAACGTCCCTGCAGTGCTGGTGCGGCAGAGCCTCTGCCCGGAGGCGGACGTCACATGTGGGGTGGCGAGTGGCAGCTCCCTAGTCTATCACCGGGGGGGAGGGTGCGGGGGGGGCTCTTCTTCGGCAGTAATGTGAGGCTTAAGGAGGGCGCTCGACCTGCAACACACACACACACACCCCCGGGCAGCCAGTGAGCTAGAGGATGAAGCGGCAGTGTGCACGTACACACACACACAGACAGACACACACAGACAGAGTGCCGCTTCTGCGCCAGGGGATGATGGTGCGAAGGGGTGTCAGGAGGCCACCAGTGCACACCTTGACCCCCCCCCCCCACTCAGCGAAGGGGGAATGATAACCCAAGGAGGAGCTGATAATACAGCCCAGCCCCCTTCAACACTGACAGCTCTCCCCCCTCCCCCCCTCCAGCCCAATTCTCTGTGATTTTGAGCCAATTCCATCCTGGGTGGACTTCAAAGTTAGCAGCATCTGGGACAGCAGCAGTTTCCATGGCAACCAAATCTGGAGTACTGCTCCGCCTAGGGAGCCGGCAGGCTGCTGCCCCTGCCCCCCCCCCTCCGCAGTCAGCCAGCCAGCAAAGCGCCAGACATGCGAAGGCTCTGGGAAGAACCAGCCCCCCAACGTGGGGCAGGTGACCCCCTTTCCATCACTAGGGCCAGGCAGACAGAAGCCCACCCGGATGCAAGGGCAGGGGGCACTCGGACTGGGGCAGTTCTGGTGCCCTGCAAAGAGGAGCCGTTCAGAAGGGGTCCAAAGCCTTCCCGGCTCCGTCAGCTGGGATCAGGCGCTTTGGGGTGCCTCCCTGCCCCCCAACACCCATTTTGCCCCTTGGGTAGAAATCTTCCAAACAAATGAATTTCCCTCTCTCCCAACTGGCAAGCTGAAGAGCCCAGAAGGGGAGGGGCCATCTGGCCTGGTTCTCCATTCTGAGGGGCAGCCCACTCCCATGTAGGGATGACTTGGCATCTTTCCAGAGGCTGTGGGTAAGGGGTGCTGCTTCTCTACTCCCCCCTCTTTGAGAAGCCACGAAGCTCAGCCCCCACGGACCACATACGTACTCAGGCAGCTGTGGCCGTAGTGGACGAGGAAGTCCGCTCCCAAGGCGCGTGCGGTGAAGTCATCCACGCAGCAGGCCCCATAGGTCACGTCGCCCATCACCACGGCTTCTGCCCCGGTGAACCTGCAGGAGGAGAGGCAGAATTCACGTCCTGTCCTGCTCAGCCTCCCCCCCGTCCCCACAGCGGGTCCTGCTGTGGCTGCACTGCCCCGGCACCGTTATCGCTCCCAGAGTGGCCCAGGGTTTCCAGCCCACTTCAGTCCGGTGGCTCTCCTGCCTCCCAGCCGGGAGGGGGAGCGGGGGCGGGAGGACTGTGGGGTCCTTGGTGCTGTCTAAGCATGGCTGGCTGGGGAATTATGGGAGTTGAAGTCCGCAGGTGTTAAAGGGGCCCAGGTTGGACACCCCTGATTCAAGGGAAGGGAAGGGCAGCTTCTCAGCCAAGGAAAACAAGGGTTTGCTCACTAGCAATCCAGCCAATTCCAGATAAAAAAACTCCTCTTCAGGTCTTTTGCCCCACAAGGCCCCAAAGAGAGAAGGGCCGGGACCCCATGACCGAGGTGACTCCTCCACCCCCTGAAGGGAGCAAGAGTGGGGTCTTCCTTCCAAAGCAAAGGTCTGGAAATAAGGCCAGGAAGGACCGAGGCTCCACTCGGGTGCAGCCCCTCTCCTGGGGGAACCCACCCTCCTCAAGGACCCAGAGCAAAGAAGGGCCTGGCGGCCATGGCACCACCTCTCCTCCCCCCCCCCACTGGCAGAGGCCCCGCCGGCAGCCCAGGCATTGGGGCTCCCCTGGCCACACCTCTCCTTTCCTCTCCACCAAACAGACTGCCCATTCTGGCTGCAAGGGAAACAGAGGGCCTGCGGGTGTGCCAGCAGCAGAAGGTCAAAGGGAGGATGGCCGAGATGCCCATCTGACCACCACAACTCAAGCGAGGCAGACACTCTGCCACCCAGCCAACTCCAGATCAGATGATCCCCAAATATGTGCCTTGCACTGGCATGTGCAGCTGGGGGACCCCAAAATACAGGCGGCTGTTGGCCAGGCCAGAGCACAGAGCACTGACTGGGGGCACAAAGGGTCCTTCATCCCCAGAGCCCTGGACTCCAGCTCACAAGGTAAAAAGGGTGGCAAGGTAAGCAGGGAGTTGGACTAGAAGACCTCTGAGGTCCCTTCCAGTCCTAGGATTCTATGTTCCAAGATGGGAGGGTGAAATTCCCGCAAGGCCCAGCCTGTGCAAACACACACACCCCACCAAAAAAAAAACCCACTCTAAACCACAGAAGGCGATCTGAGCCCAGGGGAGAGGAGAGGAAAAGGGAAGCCTTTCCAGATGGAACCCGGGGCCAGGAAGCTCCCTGCCAAAAGGAAGCAAGGACTGAGCATCTCTGGCACCCCAGTGGCCACACCGACCCGAGGGGCCTGCCCTGCGGCTGGACCCGGGGCCGTTCTGAGGGAGAAGGCCAGGACAGAGCCTGGAAGCCGGGGACGCCAGGCCACCTTTCCTGCCACGAAGCAGGCAGAGAAGCCGAGCGGAATCTGTGGAATCCGTGCAGGGCTGCCAGGAGTTTGGCTGCTTCCTGAGGCAGCAAATTTGGGTGACCAACCTGGGGGTCAAATGGGGACAGCAGTTGCTGCTCTTCTTTTCAGCACCTCCAATCTGCCCTCCCCCTCCCCCTCCCCCTCCCGGGCATCACATGGCCCTCCGCTTCACCCTCTGCCTCCCCTGCCTGGTATGGAGTGAAATTTCAAAAAACTGCCCCCCTCCCGGTTCCTCCTTCTAAATCATGAGTGTCCATCTTTGGCCACTTTAAGACCTGTGGACTTCAACTCCCAGAATTCCCCAGCCAGCATAAGAGAGCATCTCCAGTTGAGGAATTCTGGGAGTTGATGTCCACAGGTCTTAAAGTGGCCAAGGCTGGACACCCTGCTCTAAATCCTGCCACTTGCTGGCTTAAGGGAGAGCTCCCAGAAAGCCTCCAGCAATAGCAGCAGTCAATCTGGGGGGAAGACAATGAGGGGAGACCGTGGTTGAAGGCATCTGGCCAAACCAAAGGAGGCCGAGTAGAGGTGGAGAGGGGAGGAAACCGTCAAAGCGCTTGCCAGGAGAATCCAAATTGGCCGGAGGCTGACCGGGCTGAGCCAAACCCGTCCTCAGTTCTGCTGCCCTTCCAGAAGCTTCCTTGTGCCCCTCCCACACCCACCGTGGGTTCAGCAGCCATAAAGTTTGTCCTCATCTTGCAATCATTCGTTTAGTGACCGTTCAAAGCTACAGAGGCATGGAAAAGTGACTTACAACCAGTCCTCGCACTTATGACCATTGCAGCATTCCCATGATCAAAATTCAGGCACTTGGCAACTGGCGTGGACTTAGGACAGCTGCCCCGTGGGGGAAGGGGTGTGTGTCACGTGATCGCCATTTATGAGTCTCCCAGGCAGCTTCCCAAAAGTCAGCAGGGAAGCTGGATTCACTTCAAACTGCATGATTTAACAACTGCACTGATTTGCTTAACAACCGTGGCAAAAAGGACATAAACTGGGCAACTCATTTAGCAACTGCCTTGCTTAGCAACGGAAATTCTGCTCTCAAGTATGGCCCCCCGCCCAGAAGAGAGCCCTGGGGGAGGTTAAAGGGCAGCAGTGGGGGAGGGGACAGGAGACTCTGGCACTGCAGAGGACATTTTGTGAGAGTGCCCACGAAGGGGTCAAAGGCCAGAGGGCCACGATCCTCCCGCTGACCTGAAGGCTTTTCCTAAACACCCAGAGGGTGTGAAAGCCAGTTCCTTGCCCAAAGGCCGTGGGGCCATGGACCCAGCTCCTTCTCAGCCTGGCCTACCTCAAAGGGCTGTGGGGCGGGAGGGGGACAGGAGGAGGGAGCAGTGAGCAGCCTGGAGCTCCTGCAGGAGAGGCAGAAAAGACCTTTAATGAATAGAATAAAACTCATCCAGGCCTTAATGGGGCAGATGCTCCAGAAAGGAGACCCACAAAAGGAGCCCTTCCTGGGCCAGGAAAAGGGGGCCTGGGGAGGGGGCTGGTTCCTTCCCAGTCTCCAGAGAAGAGGGGGGGCTCAGGAGCCCTCGGCTGCTGCTGCTGCTTCGCTTCAGATAAAAGGATCTGGATAATCAGCCTCCTTTGAAGTCAAGATATGAAAGAGGCCCCTCGCTGGGCAGGCGGCTCCCCAAAGCACCGCAGCATTGGGGGCAGATGGCTCCAGTGGCAGCCCCCAGGGAAGATCAGCCCCCCCCCTCCCTCAAACCACAAGCCCCCCTCCCGGACTCACTCAGCCCCTGGACAGGCAGAGCTGAAGGGCTGCATTGCATCCCACATGCAGGAGGCTGGGGTGAGGAGTCCCCCCAAGAAATGCATGAATGCCAAACTGCCCCCAAGACACCTCCCCCATGCCCCCTCCACACTCACCTTTCAACAATGTCGGCAAGGGTGCAAGCAAACATCAGGAGCCCCTCCGGCATCTGCAGCGCCACTGCAAGGAAGGGGGGGGGGCAGAGGAGGCTCATCAGGGTCTCAGAGCAGCTCCACAACCCAGGCCACCCCCCCCTAGGAGTTGGGGCTCCCTTTCCCCCAGCAGGGCTCCACCCCACCCCCAGGGGTGACTCTCAGCATGCTGCCAGGCCCACCCAACTCCCGCCTCTGCCAAGAGGGGACTCTGGAAGCTGGCAGAAGCCGAACTCCCCCTGCATGGAGAATGAAGGGGACCTGGGAAGACTCCCTGGCTGGGGATTCTGGGTGCTGCAGTCCCACCTGAGAGCATCAGTTCAGGGGGTGGGTGGGGAGAGGTTGCAGCTCAGGGACAGAGTCCTCCTCAGAGGCCGAAGGGTGGCCCAGTTCTGGAGTTCTCCAGGATGAGCTGGCTCAAGAGAAGCCCTGGCACCAGCCCAGAGAGGAGAGGAGCTGAGTGACAGGATGGCATCCGGCTCTGCTGCAGGCGAGATTCAGACAGCAGGCAGGCAAGAGAAGCTCTGCCAGGCATGCCCAGATCCCTGGCATAGCCCCGAATCCAGATGCCCACTCTGGCCTCTGGTCCTTTCTGGCCAGCTGAGAGATCAGGAAGAGGGCAAAAGTGCTGCCCTGCCAGTCACCCACAGCTGGGCACGCAGAGCCGGGAGCCCCCTGGTGCCACCACCTCCTGTCACCCACTTTGTGAGAACCACGCAGCATCCTAAGCAGAGAAGCCACTCTCTGGCAGGATGCAGATTGCCTGGGCAAGGGCTCTGCAGCCAGCTCTCCTTGGCACGTGTGGCAGCAGTCAGCCCCTCCGCACGTGGCTCCGTGTGGCTTATCCCCACCTGCGGGGGCCACCCACTTTCTCCAGAGCAGCCATCCACGGAGCTGAGGCAGGCAACAGGAGCTGAGCTTCCACGCAGGGATACTTCAGCCCCCACTCCCCATGGGCAAAGTGGGACTGGGGGGGTCTCCCAGATGCCCTCCCCAATGTGCAGAGCATCCCTCCCCCGCCCCAAGGCACTCACCCCTCCTGGCTTGGGCCTGACGAACCCGCCACACCGTTTTGTAGACCTCAAAGTTGTAGTTGTGAGGGAGGCGTCCCACGGCGTCCTGGAGCTCCGGATCAGAGAGAATCTCCTGGGGGATGTGGTGGACCACTCGGCGGGGGGCTCGCCTGGCTGCAGGAGGGCAGAAGTGATCCTAAGGGCCACGCGAGGGGGAAACCGAGCTCACACACCAGCTCCCTCCGTCCCTCCCCACTTCATTCCGAGTGCCATTGCTTGGCAAGGAGAGAAGCCGGGGCAGATGGCCGGAGGTCCCTCCTGGCCATTTATGCTTTGACACTCAGCCCCAAGAGCAGCCGAGGGAGCCGGGCTGCTCAGACCAATGCCCCCCCCCCCCCCCCACAATGAAGCAGATGCCTCTCGAAGTCCCCCAGGCCGTAAAGGGGACCAGGCCTGCCTCCCCCCCGCCCCCCCGGCAGTGGCTGTCTCTGGATGCTGATAAATTATAAAGCCATCCAGCCAAGGGTCCCTGAGGCGGCAGCTGCTGGCGCAGCCTCTGTGCACCACACAAATGCAAGGCTGGATTACAGGAGGGGGGGGGGGGCTTCGTATCACAGACTAGTATCACAGGCCAATCCTGACCGGCTCGAGGTTAACTCAAATCTTCTGTCCTTCTGAGGACCCAAATTGTTGCGGGCAAGAGGTGAATCGCTCAGAGAGGGCTGGAAAACACTGTGAAGTGGTATATCAGTCTGAGGGCTACTGCTATTGTAGGCCTCCTAGCCCTATGACGTGTGTGTGACAGACGACACGCCATGCCAGAGGAGAACCAGAGCGCCTCAGTCTCAACGAAGGAGAATATTTGTAGCTCAGGGTTGAAACGAGGGGTCCTCAGTGGGGCTTAGACGGCACAAAGGACCCCTCGGCCTCTCCCATCCGGATGGCTCCTGACTGCCCAGGAAAACTCCCGCAGAGGAATGCCAATCGCTTTGGCAATGCGAGGAATGAAGCTGCCTGGAGGGGGTCTTTGGGCTGGACTCCTCCCTGCGGGAGAGGAAGAGGATGGTCCCCAGGACCGAAGCAGAAGGCAGCAGAGGGTCTTCCACAAAGGATGATGCCCTTGTCTTTCCTGGGCTGGCAGGGCCTTGCCCTGAGTGGTCCCTTACAGTCCGGAGGGCAGCAGGGAGGATTGGGGGCCGAGGGGAGGGAAAGGCAGATGGGCCACAGCCAGCAGGAGCTAAAAGACATTTCAAGCGGGATGTTGGCACCGCCACCTACGGTTCCAGAAGGGCCAGTGGGCCTGGGTCTTCCAAGTGGCTCCCCCAGCCCCTTCCCCCTTTGGCACGGGTGTGTTGGCGTTCTGTGAATCAGCAAAGCAACAGCCTTACAGAGGATGGCAGTTGGCAGGGAAGGCTCTCCAAAGGGAAGGAGAGAAGGAGGAAGGGGGGAGGGAGAGAAGGAATTGGGGGGGGGGGACTGGGGACTGACTGTTGCATGGCAGTGCCCCAGAGACAACAGGCTCCGGAGGAAGGCAAGCAGAGACTGGCTCTTTTGCCAACCAACAGGGAGAGAATGGTGAACCCGAATTCCGAGCAAGCTGTCTGGGCAAAGCTGCGGGGAGCAGAGAGGCAGGGCGAAGCCCATTCACCCATGTGGCCCAGCCATGGGAACCACCATTCCCTGGCCCTTTGCCAGTTGGGAATGAAAAAGGGAGAGGGGGCAAAAAGTGGCAATTAGCCAAGAAAAGGAAGGAAAGGGGAACCAAGAGATCCGGGGAGCAGAAGCAGAAGCAGAAGAGAAAGGGGGGGGGGATGGAGGGGGGAGTGGGCTTTAGCATCAGGGAAGGGCCGAAACTTCTCTCAGAAAGAATCAACTGGGGCCATCCAGACCCCTGGGGCCTGGACTTATGACCACAATGGAGCCCAAAATTTCTGTCAAGTGAGACATTTGTTAAGTGAATTTTGCCCCATTTTATGACTTTTCTTGCCAGAGTTGTTAAATGAATCAATGCAGTTTTTAAACATCTCCACCCCGGACCACCCCAATGATGCCCTTGAAGTGATGTCCCGGTGCCTGGAGGCCGTGCGGATCTGGATGGGGAGAAACAGACTCAGGCTCAACCCATCCAAGACCGAGTGGCTGTGGTTTCCGACATCCCGATATAGTCAGTTGGTGCCATCACTGACTATTGGGGGCGAGTCACTGGCCCCCACGGATAGGGTTCGCAACTTGGGTGTCCTCCTGGACTCACGGCTGTCTTTAGAAGAGCACATGACGGCCGTGGCCAGGGGGACTTTTTATCAGGTCCGCCTGATTCGCCAGTTGCGTCCCTTTCTGGATCGGGACTCGTTAAATACGGTCACTCATGCTCTCGTTACTTCCCGCTTGGACTACTGTAATGCTCTCTACATGGGGCTCCCCTTGAGGAGCACCCGGAGGGTCCAGAATGCGGCCGCGTGGGTGGTTATGGGAGCGACGTGGCGCTCCCATGTGACCCCCCTCCTGCGCGAGCTGCACTGGCTCCCGGTGGTCTTCCAAGTGCGCTTCAAGGTTTTGGTTACCACCTTTAGAGCGCTCCATGGCATTGGACCGGGGTATCTACGAGACCGCCTTCTGCTACCAATAGCCTCTCACCGACCAGTACGCTCCCATAGAGAGGGGCTCCTCAGGGTGCTGTCGCCCAAACAGTGTCGACTGGCAGCCCCCAGGGGGAGAGCCTTCTCTGTGGGGGCACCTACCATCTGGAACGAGCTCCCCCCAGAGATACGGAAGATCCCGGACCTGCACACGTTTCGCCGTGCTCTCAAAACTTTTCTATTTCAGCAAGCTGGCCTGGCCTAACTCCCATCTTTTTAAATTTTTTAAATTTTTTAATTTGTGATTTTATAAATTGGGTGTTTTAATCTGTGTTTCGGCCGAAATATTTAATAATTTTAAGGGATTTTTTAAATATTTGTATTATCTGTATTTTATCTTGGCTGTTCACCGCCCTGAGTCCTTCGGGAGTAGGGCGGTATAGAAATTTGATTAATAAATAAATAAATAAATAAATAAACTGGTAACACGGTTATTAAGTGAATGGAGCTTCCCCACTGATTTTACTTGTAAGAAGGTGACAAAAGGGGATCCCATGATCCTGGGACCCTGCAGCCCTCACAAATATGCGTCAAGCATCTGAATCAGTGGCCAAGTGCCTGGATTTTGATCCCATGATGATGGGGATGCTACAAAGGTTGTAAGTATGAAAAATGGTCATAAGTCACTTTTTTCAGTGGCGTTGTAACTTTGAACGGTCACTAAATGAACTGTTGTAAGTCGAAGATTGTCAGGAATTATGGTTGTAAATTGTATTGGTCATTAAACATCATGTGGCCAACCAAATTTTATGACATTTTTGCAGTAGTTATTAGCAAATCATCATGGTTGTTAACCAACCTTCATTGTCATTAAACCAGAAATAAACACTGTTTTCTACCAGAAAAAGAGAGTCAATTGTGGTCTTGTCACCACAGGGTCTGCAAACAGCCACAGTTGCAGGTCAGTTGCCGAGTGTCCAGAATGTGATCACGTGACCTGAAGCCACCAAACTCTGAATCTGGGTCCCAAGTATCATTTTTGAGGCCATGGTAACTTTGGTTGCTAAGCAATCAGTTGTACAACAAGGACTGCTTCTGCAGGTAGTCTTTGACTTACAACAGTTCATTTAGCGACTATTCAAAGTTACAACAGAAAAAAGTGACTTATGACCATTATTCACACTTTCGATCCCATGGTCACATAATCAAACCTCAGACGCTTGGCAACCGACTCACATTTATGACGGCTGCAGTGCCCTGGGGTAATGCAATCCCCTTTTGCAGCCTGCTGACAAGCAAACTCAATGGGGAAGCCAAATTCACTTAACCACCACGTTACTACCAGTAACAACTGCAGGAATTCACTTAGCAACTATGGTTAAGAATGGTCGTAACTTGGGGCAAAACTCACTTAACTAGTGTCTCACTTTGCAATGGAAATTTTGAGCTCAATTGTGGTTGTAAGTCGAGGATTCCCTGTATAGAGAAACAGGAGTCCACAGGGTGACGGGAGAAGAAAAGAAGAACGGAGAATCAGGAAGAATCAGAGACGAATATGGGCCGGTGGGGAATTGCGCAACATTCCAAATAATAAGATCCAGAGTGAAAATGATTCTGTCAGGGGACTGAATGGATGGCCGGAAAGAAGGGAAGGCAGCAGGGCCCTTTACAGACTCAGAGAGAGAGGCAGCCCTTCGGCGTGGCTCTCCTTAGAAAAGGCCCCTCTCTCTCTTTTCAAAGGCTCTGCTGAGGGGCACAAGGCACGAGAATTAACTTGGGTAGGGTTAAGGTGAGGTGGTGGGGAACTATGACCCTTCCACTCCCAGAATTCCTGAGCCAGAATGGAATTCTGGGACTTGAAGTCACAAGTCATTAAAAGAGCCGTAGTTCCCCACCCCTGATGTAGAAGCACAATTGGGCTGATTCTTTATGAGAAAACCAACTTCTGCTTCAGCAAAGGAGTCAAGGACCAGGAAACCGCCAGAGGAGACCCATGGTAGTCTGTGGTGGCAAAGGAGCAGGAGGAATCCGGCGGCCCCTTTGCCGACGCACCAACCCGATTCAAAGAGGGAGACAGGCTGCTCTTCAGTCCAACCCCCCAATCTTCAATGAGGCTGGAGGTAAAAACATAGTTGCAGGAATTGGGCATGTCGAATCCAGTGAAAAGAAGGACCTGGGGGGGGGGGGGGGGACGGGACATGATAGCAGCTTTGAGGGGCTGTCAGGGAGGAGCGGAGGGGGTCAACCTATTTTCCCAAGCACCTGAATGCAGGACAAGAAGCAATGGATGGAAACTAAGCAAGGAGAGAAGCAACCTGTAACTCAGGAGAAATTTCCTAATAGTTGGAACAATTGATCAGTGGAACGGCTTGCTTCCAGAAATGGTGGGTGCTTCATCACTGGAGATTTTTTAGAAGAAACTGGGCAGCCATTTGTCTGAAATTGTGATATAGACTAGTGTCTCCTGCTTGAGCAGAGGGTTGGACTAGAAGATCTCCAGGGCCCCTTCCAACTCTGTTATTCTGTATCCCCAGGACAGTGGGGAGTTAGGCGAGCACAAAGCGTCATAAGGGTAGCTAAAGCAACTCCATTTTAACATTCCCTGGAATTTGGAAGAGAAAAACTTTCAGGGCAAGAAACGAGTAGAACACCCGTCACTACCAGGCAGGCTGCAATTGGTGCCCACTCAGGTCCTGTGCTGAGGACATCAGTTCATAAGACATGAGGATGAGGCAGGAAAACAAGAAATGGGGAAAGTTAAAAGAGGCAGAGAAAACGCAGAGCAATTCTGATGGCGATAAAATACTGATAGTACAGTGGTCTAAGCACCCTGTTATTAACACAGCTGCCTGCAATTACTGCTGGTTCGAATCTCTCCAAGGCTCAAGGTTGACTCAGCCTTCCATCCTTTCTAAGGTAGGTAAATTGAGGACCCAGTTTATGGGGGGCAATAAGCTGACTTTGTATAAAGATACAAAAGTATGAAGGCTATTGCTTAATGCATTGTAAGCCGCCCCGAGTCTCCGGAGAAGGGTGGCATATAAATCAAATTTTAAAAAAAAACTGATTTGGAACTCAAAGAACTTAGCAAAACACCACTGGCTAAATGAAATTAAAAATGCCAAGTGGATTAAATTACTGGGGGTGAAACAGACTTGAAGATAAAGCTATAAATTAAGGGTGTCCAAACTTGGCAACCTTAAGACCTGTGGACTTCAACTCCCAGAATTCCCTAGCCAGCTTGCTGGGGAATTTTGGAAGTTGAAGTCCACAAGCTTTGCTGGCTAAGGAATTCTGGGAGTTGAAGTCCACAGGTCTTAAAATTGCCAAGGTTGGACACCCCTGCTATAAATATTACCATCCAAGGAAGAAATAGATGAGAAAGAAAATTATAAATGCCACGAGAAAGCTGAAAGGGCTACAGGTGTCGTTGCTGTAACTGGAGAAATATTAAAATCATGGATGCGGTTTGCTTGCAGAGAGGCGGTGTGACACATTCAGAGTGTGTGTGTGTGTGTGACATCAACTGGGTCTGTGCCTGATGATTACAAGAATGTCAATTTGTTCCCCTACACAAAGAGAAGCATAGCAACAGGCAGCACAAACTCTCCAAGTGGATTATTACTTTGCCACCCATGAGTGGGAAGCCATTTGCAGAATCCCGACTGGAAGGGCCCAGAAGGGGAGTTTAGGCCGATTTAGATAAAACGCAGAATAAAATGTATAAACTTGAATTGTGGGAATTAACACTTGGCCGCTGCATGTAGCAAAAGTTTAGGTTGGAGATACAGCATGGATGAAAACAAACGGAGTATTTAGTAAATGGCTCAGTGAACTGAGGACAAGTACATCTGACCGAATATGTGAGGGAGCTGTGGATAAAGCCATCATTGTGGTTCTGATGCTCTTACAGGGATTAATGAATTAAGATTTGTATGGCCAACCACTCACTCTCAGAGACTCTGGGGGGCTTACAAGCTTCTATACAGGCTAAGAACCTGGGTGATTTGCAGGGAAGGTTAGACTGTTCCCTGACATCTAATCAGCAGTTCGGTGGTTCGAATCCCTAGTACAGGCCCCCTGCGTGAGCAAGGGGTTGGACTAGATGACCTCCAAGATCCCTTCCAACTCTGTTACTGTTACGCCCAGCCTTGGGAGGAACTTGGTCGGCTGGGGAATTCTGGGAGCTGAAGTCCACAGGACTGGAAGTTTCAAGATTGGACGCCCTGGGACAGGGTCTCCCACTCGAGCAGAGGGCTGGACTAGAAGACCTCCAAGGTCCCTTCCAATCCTGTTATTCTGGGGTTTCCTTTGGGGGAGGGGGATAAAGCCCGCGGCGTCTCTCTCTCTGCCAACGGGGAGCCCACCGCCCCAAAGCCTCCTGCCTCCCCTCCCCTCCCCGAAGCCCCCCTCCCCACCCCGGGGGCCCGCTCACCCGCCGCCAGCGCCTGTTCCTGGGGGCCGCCGCCGCCGCCGCCTCCCTCCCCGGCCGCCGCCATGGCCGCCGCGCCCACGTGGAGCCGCCAAGGCAGCGCCAATCGAGCGCCACTCGAGCGGGGAGCCAGGCCGGCCAGAGGAGCGCCGAGCCGCCGATGGGCGGGGGCGACGGGCTCCTGAGCGCGCACAGAGCGCCTTCGCGGCCGCCGGGGAAGAAGGAGGGGCCGGGCCTCCCCCCCCCCATCGTTCCCGCGGCGGCCGCTGCTGCTGCTTGGGGACTACAGCTCCCATGGTCCCCGCCCGCGGGCCGTCCACGGAGGGTGAAGTTCGGCTGGGGGCTTTGGGGGAGTCAGCCGGCCTCGCCTGGGTAGTACCCGCGGGGGGGGGGGCTCTCCTTGAGGGGCGGGGCTGGACCCGACGGTGCTTCCCTCCCTGTGGCCCCGCAATCCTGGCGGCGGCCAAAGGGTCTTCCGGGCCGGCTCATCCGCGGAGAAGCCGCCCCTTTGCTGGGGATCCCAAAGGCGGGAGGGGAGGGGAGGGGAGGTGCCCCCCGTGGATCCCCCCACCTGCAGGCTGCGGTTCCGCAAGGCTTGGGGCGGGAGACCCTCTTTCCTGAGAAGCAGAGCCCCGGGGTGGGGTGGGGGTGGGGCGGTTGAGCAGCCCCGGGAAGCAAGGTGGAGGTCCGTCTCCAATTCTGCCTCTGGAATCCTAGGCTGGAAATGCCCGTAGAGCTCTTCAGTCAGCCTGGCTTTGCTCATCTCCAGCAGCTGAGCAGGTCTGAGGTAGATCTTGGTTGGGGAGTGGAGAAACCTCTCCTAAGGGGGTCTCTCTCTCTCTCACACACACACACACACACACACACACACGCAGGGACGATTCCTCTCAGTGTTATTTTGCTCTTTGATTTGTTATGTTTTATGCAATTCATTTGATTTAGGCACTTCCCAATTCCAGGCCAACGCTGGGCAGCTCATTACGGACTAAAATACAATATGTGTATGGGAAGAAACGAAAAACAAGCTAAAGAAGGGAACAAATTTTAAAAAAATAGAGAACAAAATGGTAAATCCAGCCAAAACATGTAGAACAGCATCCCTCTCCCCCCCTCTCCGAGATTCAGGCAGTGTCCAATTTCATGGGATTTTGGGAAGCCTTGAAGACCTTCCCTGGCTGGGGGTTAATGTGTGTGGGGGGTGTGGGGCTGGCTTCATTGCCTGAGCCCCTGTTGTACTGGTTTTTTTCATTAAATCTACGGTCTATGCCTTAGTATGGTCTGGCTATCATTTATGGATTTTGTAAACTGCCCAAGATTCTTCTGGAAGAGACAGTTATATTAAATGAAATTATATGTAGCAACACCCCCCTATACAAGGGTGCCAGCCCCTGCCCCAAAACCTGGGAGAAGATCCAGGCCTTTAAGGCCCTCCAGTGCCCCCGGATGAAAGCTGTCTGGATTCCTTGGGGAGCCTCATTCCAGAGGACAGTGACGGAACAGGGTGCTTCCAGGGCCCCAAAGTACGGTGCTGTTTAACCCAAGGGATCTGGGGAGCACCAGCCACCTCAGCTTCAATCCACAGGGCAGATGCCATGGGAGACAGGCGCCCCTCAGTTAATCGGGCCCTGCGCCATGCAGTTGGCAGCTAGGCAGCTGGATGACATATAAAGGTAGTGTAGGAAGTTAGCACCACCACCCCTTTCCTAGAAGAATGAAATATTTTAGGATATATTAAAAAGGCAGAATATTATGTTTCCCTGGTTGAGAAATGGAGAAACATGTTTTAAAGACAAAGCTACTCCTACCTTCCTGCCTTCCCCCCTTTGTTAATGGGCCAGAGGCAGAAACTCAATCTTTGACAATAGGCAACACAATAGCAACAGAAACTCACCACATGGCACCTGGGAAGATTACATCAGCCAGCAAGGCTAGCTAAGAACCCCCCCACACACACACACACACACCGGGAGTCTGAAAACAAATAAGGATACTCTTTCTGGGCCCCAGGAAATTCAAAACCAGAGAAAGCATAAAACCCGGGGACTCGCTGTATCTCGTCCCTTTTCTGTTCAGGAACTCAAACCATGTTATCCTGTCCACCATTAAACCATCTTTCCAAGCAGTGTCCATGTTTCCAGTGTCTTTTTCCCCACTTGGAGCTGAACCCAGAAGGATATTTCTTCCTACAGTAGCATTAATAAGAATAGAATAGAATAGAATAGAATAGAATAGAATAGAATAGAATAGAATAGAATAGAATAGAATAGAATAGAATAGAATAGAATAGAATAGATTTTTTTGTTGGCCAAGTGTGATTGGACACACAAGGAATTTGTCTTGGTGCATATGCTCTTGGTGTACATAAAAGAAAAAATACATTCATCAAGAATCATAAGGTACAACACTTAATGTTAGTCATAGGGTACAAAATAAGCAATAATTGGGGGGGGTCTGGCTTTTTGTGCTCAAAGGGGGGGTGGCAGAATAAGGCACATGTGGCTGGCATTGCATTTCACATCCTGAGGGCTTAGAAATATCATTTGGGGATTGCAAATCAGCCAGGCTCAGCAAAAACCCATCCGGCTGTCAGAATTCCCTGATGTTTCCTTGACAGTCAGGCCAAAGGTTCTATAGATACCCCTGAAGGGCATGGGGGCACCCCTGACCTCGGTTGCCTTTCCCTGACAAGGACAGCGGGGAGGGGGCATTCCAGGCCTGGCTGCCAGGGGGTCCAGCCCTCCTGCTTTGCTACACTGGAGCCACCCTGCTGCCACCCTGCAAACAGAAGCTTGGGAGCCAGGCCACCCACAAGTGGTACCAGGGGAAATCTAATCGCCAGTACAGTGTCGCAATCCTGGCATGTCCAGAGGAGGAGGAGAGGAGGTCCTCCCAGCCCAGAGAAAGCATTTTCTCCTGCCCCTCTCCTGCCCCTCTGAAAACAGGCGAACAGAATTGTGGCAGGGAAGAGAAGGGGGCATCCAGGATTTCTGTAGGAGCCCCATGAATGAGCAGAGCCCCCGCAGCTGATGGCTGCCTCCCCCTTTCATGCAGAGGGTGGGGTGAGGAGGAGATACACGGCCCTTCCACCCCAGATTCCTCCCCCCCCCACAGTGTCCTCGGGGCCAGCCTGTAGTTCAGGAGATTTACCTGCTGCTGCCTCACCTGTTTATCCAGGTAGAACTTGGCCTGCTGAAGGGTGATCAGTCTGTCTGTCCCTCTCTCTCTCTCTCTCTCTCTCCCCCTCTCGCTCTTCTTTGTTTTAAGCTGTTCTCTCATTTGGACAATCCACCCGCTTCCCCTCCCCCAAACCAAAGGGGGCAGCCTTTATTTCTTTCCTCTTTGCCCTGGCCAAAGTTGGGGACATCCAGCCTCCCTGAAGTAGGGCTCCCCAGTGGTCCCCCACTCTAGGCCTGCCTGCCAGAGCAGCTGCTTCTCCATGCTGGCTGCTCCCTTTGGGGCGTTTTGGGCCATGCTCCCTGCACCCTTCCCCTCCCTGTGGGCCTGCCTCCAATCACACACCCCTCTCCCCCTCCCCAGCTGAGTGACAGCTGCTCTGCCCCCTCCCTGCTCCTCTTACTCAGCGCTTGAGTAATTCACAACACCTCTCTCGGGCTGGCCAGCCTGTGGGTTTGGCTCTACTTGCAGCTCCCACTCACCACGGCTGTCCTCCCCCTCCTGGAGGAGTCTGGGGGATGGTGAGAGAGGAGAGCCATTTGTGGGGCACTTTATTTAACCTTGGCCAAGGAAACACCTTCCCCCCCCAGGCTGTCTGATCCCCACCTGCTAAGACCACCCACATGGCGGGGGTTGAACCAAGGGGTTCCTGTGGGCCAATGAAGCCCATGGCTTAATCTGGGGCAAAAGAACCCCTTCCCCACCCAGGTCTTGGAGGGCTGCAAAAAGTGGCATGGGGGGGTCATCACAAGAGAGGAGGGTCTCCTCGGTGGAGAATCCAGCTGAGGCTGGGCCCACTGAGCCCCCAGGCCTGCTGAGTGCGCCCCATCCATGTCTGCCTCCCTCCCCATGGAAGGAGCAGCTCTGGCCCTGCCTGCCCGGACTGCCTTGGTCAGTGGGGAGAGGTCTGGGCCAGAACTGCCCCCTTCCTCCGAGGAGAACAACACAAAAACAACACAGTCTGTGCTGTGCATTGCAATCTGTTGGCCCCAATCTCAACGCAGAACAGAAGGGCTAATTCGTCATGTACCCACAGAAGCTGGGGGGGGGGTTTGCAGAGCCAGCCGGCTGTGTCCCTCTCCAAAGGCCGTCCTGCCTTTGGCAGAGGGAAAGAGGGCAGCAAGCCATGGACTGCCTGAGCCGTACGTTCCCCAGGTGTGGTCTGGGGGGGGGGGCTCTGATTTCCTTGGCTAAACTTTTGGAGCTGGGCCCCCAGAGAATCATTGGGCAGAAACTTTGGGGGCAGAAAAGGCAAGGGAGAGACAAGGCACCCCCAAACCCCTTGGGGAAAGATCTCCGTCTGGGGTCTGCCCAGAGGCTTGAACACCCCACTGCCAGCCTGGCTCCCCCTTACCCAGAGGGAGATTCAGCAGCAGCCAGCAAAGAACACCAAGGGTCAAGGTCACAACCCATCCCAGGACCGGTCTGGCCACCCCAGTCTCTGGTCATTAGGGTCCTGTCCCACTCAGACTCTCTGCCAGGTCCCATGGGGTCACTGCAAGGTACACAGCCCCCCTCCCAGCAAAAAACTCTCAGAAACAGTTCCTGCCCTGGGGCTGCCCCCTTCAGGCGGCCTGTGAGCCTCAGCCTGCCGGTGGACAATCACTCTTTGACCAGGAGTCTGAGGTCTTTCTACTACTTCCTGGCAGGAAGCTTGAATCCCGGAGCCGATCAGGGGCAAAAGCAGGAGGGCTTTTGAGAGAAAATGCTCTTCGAAAGGGCTTCTCCTTTCCTGAGGCTGCTAAATGCTGGTGCCCTTTACATGGCAGATGGCATGGGCCACCACATGCAGGCCTCCAGCTGGCCAAGGGGCTGCCTGGCCCTGGTGAGAGGGGATTCTGGGCTACTTAGGCCTATTCAGCATTGCTCTCCCTGCTCCCCAAAGCAGCTGGAGGATGAAGCTTT